AGGATCGAAGCGGACCGGAGTCTGATCTAAGCGGACTGAATGCGGCTGGTGCGATCGATGCAGCTTTAGTTCTTGGTTCTCCTGCCTGGTGTCTGTATCGCTCTCCATCCTGCAGTCACATTCTGCACGCTGCATCCTGCTCTGACCGTTTTTATAACTGCATTGGGTCATTAAATTGGAAAGAGAAGAAGAAAAAAATGACCAAAAGGAAATAACTTTCATTATGGGGCGATAATGGCTGTTCTCAATCACATCGCTGACAGGAGCTCAGTTGGTTTCTCCTCCTGGCAGATTTATGCTTCACTCCAGCCTTCAGTCTGTAATAACCCAGCATTTCTGTGAGTTATCAGGTGGTTATTAAGCTCCAGTCGAGCCGGTGTGTCCTCGCTGTGACGGTACGACGCCTGTGGCTCCAAGTGGGACCAGATTCCTTCAGGACGTCTCCAAGCAGCGACCACAGCTCAGCTGTGACACTGCAAAGAAGTATTTATGTTCCAGTTTCTAGTGCAAATATTTTTGTTCACTTGAAATACCAGAAGACTAACTTAATGTAATTGATAATTTTTTGTTTTAAATATCTGAAATACAGCTAAACTGGTGTTGTGACCTTTCCTGTTTCATTTGCAGTTTCCTCTCCACGCCATTGTTTTTTATTTTTAAGCAGTAATGAGGCACAGCGGTGAAACATTAAACTGCTGCTGCGCTATAATAACCTCATAACACCAATATTATCGTTTATTGCAATAATCTCTGGGACAATTTATCGTCCAGCTAAATTTGTTTTCCTGACAGTAGGTCTCTGCCTACAACCCCCAGAATGCTGTGCAGTTCTGGATCGGAGTTCAGTGGAGTTATTCAGATGTTTGTCTGCATATATTATTGTTGACCGTTATTTCTTTCTGAAATAGGAGCAAATTAGTTTTGTCTTATTTTGAGTGTACTAAGATACTAGAAAGCATCAAAAATTCTCAGTGAGATTTTGTGTTTTTGCAGTGCACTGTAGTAGGAAGTGGTGTCCTGCCTGTGGAGGGAGATTACTGCTGTGCCCCGCCTCTCCTCTTTTCCTGGTGGTGTTGCATACAGATGACTGGCTGCTGGGGTAAACATGCCATCCGTGCAGTGCTGCGTGAAGCAGCAGCTGGGAGAAATCATTTTATAACAAGGGGCACATGTGGCTCCGCCATGTTTGTGGAAGTCACTTCGCATCGGTTTCCCTGTTCGGCTGTTTGCATGTTTCTGATGACTGGGCTTGTTCAGGCAGTCAGGAAGCCAGAGTGTGTTTGAATCTGGAGTGTCATGCAATGCAGGGGTGTGTCTCTTTGTAAGAAAACCGCCTGACGGAAAACTTTGTTCTGTGGAAAAAAACACAGAAAATGTCAGATGGTAAAGAGCAGCTCACCAAACAGGGTTAATAAAACGTATCTGGAACAGTTTTTAGTTAAGATGAACAATATGGAGGCATCATTTTTAACACATTGGAAAATTTGGACCGACATCAAAATCTGATATGAATATTGCAGCAACTACTCAGTTATTCTATCATTAGATCAGTTAATCGGATAAAAGATAACTTACTATTATCAAGTCATTTAGCTAGCTAGATAGGTAGCAATATAACTATCTTGCTATCTAGCTAGATAGCAAGATAACTAGCACACCTAATTAACCTGTGTAATAACTAACTAGCTTTCTATTTGGTTACACAAAACCTTCACAGATAAGCTACATGCTTATCTAGACTAGTAAATATATAGTTAGATATCACGCTAGTTAACTAGATAGCTAACTAAGTAAATAGATAGCTGTGTAGCTAGTTATCTAACAATGTGAAGATATAATTTTTTTCCTTGAACTTCAAGTGCAGCACAGACATCTTCTTTCCAAACTTAATGACAAATGTTTCAGATAATTTAGGATTCATAGACCAAGACATTTTTTCTTTCATAAATCAGCCACACAGAGCAATCTTTACCTGTTCACACTTTTGCCTGAGTAGATTAAGAAATGGATTTCCCCAGCTTGTGTTTTCATTCCCACATCTGACCCAAGCTGGCCTCCGTAGTTATTGGCCCAGCAAAGGGGACCAAGCAAATCACCAGGTCAGGAGCACCAGTAGAAACCCAATTCCTCTTAAAGGAGTGTTACTGCTAACGTTTTTAAACGTCTTCTGCTGTTGCTACATTTCGGTGGCAACCCAGAAGAACCTGTGATTAGAGCGCAGCGCGTCGGAACCGGCGGTAATGATAGAAAACCAGAAGCATAGCCGTGGAAGTGTGCTGCTATTCATCACCCGACTCGCAGGATTATCCGTCACAACAGCTGGAGATTTGCAATGGGCTTGGTAATATGTGCACACAGCATATGTTCATCGCCTGGAGGCAGGCAGCCTCTGAATTGACTCTGAATCGTGATAAATCACAAACACAAAGTGCTTCACATTAAAGAAGTCAAAGAGCCTCACAGACCTTTGATGATTAGTTTCAGATCTGGGGTTTTGTTGTCAACAGGAAACCAAGAATCTCAGCCAGAAGCATGTTTTCTAGTGTTTCTACAACCTGTGATTTCGTGAAATCTGCACAGTGGGGTGGGAGAATAAGGGTTTGTTATCTGGGAGTCAAATTATAATGTCTAATATCTCTGTCTGCATCAGAGATATTAGACAACAGGATCATTTATTTCTACAGCAGTCTCGTTCTCTGTCCTTTCTCATTGCACTGACTCAAACAATCAAAAGCCTTGGAGCAACCTATTCCCCTCCTCGCCTGTGGGAGCGCTGGACCAAGAACCCCTGAAGGAAACAACACAAAAACCAACGAATGAGACACATAGCACAACTTCCTGCTTCTCCAAATGGAAACAAAGATGGAGTAGCATCAGTTTTTACCAATTGTAGGATTTCACTTTTATTTTGGGTAAAACAGGGCGGCTGTGGCTGTGTGGCAGAGTTGTCGTCTTGCAATCGGAAGGTTGTAGGTTCGATTCCAGCTTCCTCCTGCCATATGTCGATGTGCCTCTGGGCAAGGCACTTAACCCTAAATTGCCTACCGGTCTGCGTATCGGTGTATGAATGTGTGTGTGAATGGGTGAATGTGACTCTAGTGTAAAGCGCTTTGAGTGGTCAAAATGACTGGAAAAGCGCTATATAAGTTCAGTCCATTTACCATTTACCATTTTAAAAGACCACGAGCCATTTCTCTCGTCAGTGCTAGGCTAGCATGTTTGCTTTGGTAGTATTTACCCAGAATGCCCTGCACTATACTGTTCACATGTTCACATACGCATTCAAACCATACCAGAGTTCAGCCATCAGATTGGAGCAAAGTGCTATTATTGTTTCAGGTAACCCTCATCCTTCATGGACCTTCTTTAGAAATGTGGATGCTAGCATTAGCATTGTGGGCTTCTGTGCTGCTGCTACATGGTTAGCGTTGAGATGTTATTTCAGCCTACAGTAGCTTTGCTAACAGGCTAACTCCTTTTAGCATAACTTGAACACAAAAACATTCTTTTCCAGCGTCACATCAGATCGCTTTTTGAGGAGCAGCTTTCATCCAAAGCCGTTAGCACACCTGTGCGTCATATTCACAGTCCTACTAGAAACGCAGAAATAGAAAAGTTCCTGTTCAAGACCTTTGTATGTGTGTGTGTGTGTGTGTGTGTGTGTGTGTGTGTGTGTGTGTGTGTGTGTGTGTGTGTGTGTATTTAATCAAAATTTTTAAAACTTAATTTTAAACTCCTGACTTTTCTAGTCTCAGCGCCAGATGTTCCTAAACCGAAGCATCTCTCTCTCTGACACACACACACACACACACACACACACACACACACACACCAGTGGAGTGGAAAGGGCAGCGTACCCGTCTCTGCTCGGTCCCTTTGCTTCAGGCTTTGCTCCATTGGTCGTTTTGATGATGTATCGATTGAGCAGAGAGAACCAGGTGAAGAACAAGATCCAGAGGAAATATAGTAGTGTTGAATTCATGTAGTTTTTAAAATAATATCAAAAAATGATAGTAGTTTAACAGTGTTCAAATATTGTGTGAGTTTGCTGACATAAATTCATGCGCTTTGGGTCGATCCAGATGTTTAATTCGGGTCAAACGGAGAGCAGAAGTGGATGGATCTGAACTGACAGAGCAACGCTGCGTGAATACCAAGCGAGGGATGAAGCGGCTACAATCTCTGTCTGCCTGCTCCTTATCGATGCTCTGATCATTATCAGCGGCGTCGGAAACTCCTGAGGGTCAGCTCTCACTGAGCCACAGTCTGGCATCCATCAGAACCCACAGAGGACCAGAAATTAATTAACAGGAAGGCGATGAGTCAGTCAGACAGTCTGGACCAACACCTGGTCCGATTCCTGCAGCAGCAGAGCCAGAATCTGGAGCTGAATATCAGAGAGAAACTCTGAGGGAGAACTGGCAGAAAGAAGCAGCTTGTTGGTGCCGACCTTCTGTTTGCACTTTGTCTGTTTACCAAAGGAAGGCCGTTTGGTTACACCAAGAACAAACTCCCTCCTTCCTTAAAGGGGCAGTCTCATGAAAACCAACTTTAACATCATGCTATAGAAAACACTCCTGGAGTGTTGCCTTGTTTGAGAAACCCTTTAATCTCCACGGCAACCATTCAGCCGAGCAAAACGCTGGATGGGCTTAGCCCCGCCTTCGACTCGCAGCTCCTCCCCACTCTGCTCCTTCAGACTGGCCAGCAGCAATTAGCAAACAGCTGGTGGAACTGCACATCTCAGAGCAACGCTGGTAAAAACATTAAAGGGTTAATAGAGGAGCCATGTTGGCATGACTTCCTGAAGGCGGAGTTTCAGAAAGAGCCGGAGCTTTTAAAGAGACAGGGACCCAATTTAATTGTGTTAAATTAGGAAAGTAAAGTTTCTTTTAAGACATATTTGATACATTTAATATTTTTATAACAACTGAAGATAACATAGTTGTGCTATAAAATGACACCATGTGCCTGTAACATTCCCATTTCTTTCTGTTTAGGTTCATCCCAGACATCCGTCTCTGAGAAACTGTCCAGCGTTCTTCTCCAGTGCTCCCTCTAGTGGTAAAACTCTCTCACTGCTAGCTGCCATAATCCAACCACAAACTGCAGAGTGTTTTACTGGGATCTGCATGAAGCAGCTAAAGACATCATTATACTGACAGGCTTTAACTAGGCTGCTGCTTTTCATCTCAGTTTTTATATTCATGGATGAAAAGCAGAGTGAGAAGAAAGAAGTTCAAACATCTCTTCCATTGATCATGATGGAAGAGGATCATGCAGTTTCACAAATCTTTGTCTTAATATTTAACATAAATTAACAGTGAAAAACACTGAAGTTGAAACACGAGACGGTTCACTGCAGTTTGTGGATTTCAGGTTTTTTATTTTTTTGTTTCTAGTGCCTGCTAGAAACAAAACAATAAGCTTTATTTCCTCTCTGCTGCAGACGTGTCTCTGAAGAACAAACATGGCCGCCTGGTTCTGGAGGTGCCGTTGCCGTCCAGGAACGAGAAGTGTCTGTTCTTCCTGCGGCCCATGCTGATGACAGTGGGAGACCTGATCGCCGACCTGCAGAGAGAGGACTCCGGAGCCGCGGCCTCCCTTCTCTCTGCAGGTGAGACCAGCTCACTTGAAACAGTCGGCCAGTGGGACTTTTTGATCAATATTAAGGAATTATTTATTTAAAACAACCGCCTTCAATTTTCTGAAAAGTTAGTTATTTAAAGTGCACAAAAACTAGAAACTAGACTAAAAATACTTGGTAAGATTTTGTGTTTTTTCAGTGTTTAATCTGCTGTTATTGATTGAAGTAACAATATTTTGCCACTCAGCAGTCAGTTAACAAAGTGAATCTTTTTTTCTTGCATTTTATTTAATGTCAGCGGTTCGGTTTTTGTGTTTTAAACGTTTAAATCTGAGTCGTTGCTCTTCCAGACGGGCAACGTGTTGCCAACTCGACGCTGTTGGACACCTTGCTGGAGACGGACTTCCAGCTCGTCATCAATAATCAAGTTTACAACGTCAGCGCACCTGAGAAAGGTAACAGCACTTCGTCTGTGGCTTCGTCTCTAATTAAGGACATCTCTAATTATTGGGGAGATAACTGGTTTTAACTTCCAGATAAGTTAAAAACTAGATATTTAGCTTAGCCCAGTAATTATTTGCTTTCAAGGTTAAACAAAGTCTTCTTTGTAAAAAATATATTTAATTAGAAGTATGACAACGGGTGGAACAAAAAATTTGATATCTTAAATTTATTTTAGGACTAGTCATAATTTAAACCTTAATGGTAATAGACAATTTATCCAAGTCAGATTAGAAATTTATTAACTGATTTTATGTTAAATCGGCTTGCCATACATGTGTGACTCCATGTTGCAAATCGTTCTTCGTGGTTGCAGTGATCACCTCCAGTGAGCATGCCAGAGACATGGAGGACATGAAGCACGTGGTGCATCTCCTGCACGCAGCGCTGCACCTGCCTGAACACCACCTGCTGCAGGAGCGCCATCTGCTGGAGAGGATGGACAACATCAAGCAGGAGCTGTCGCCTCTGGAGCAGGTAGCACAACCACCTGAGCGCAGGGAGGGCTGGTCAGACCAGGATGTCTACGATCAGCATCACTCTGAAAACAGTCACTAAACTCCGCTGGCATAAAAAGAACAAATACATTTTCTTCTCTTCCGATATCTGAGTTTTCGTATCGGCAGACATTGATCCGAAGCAGAAAAACATCCCTGACTTGATTTTAAATGGTTGTTTTTTTTAAAACGCAGCCATAAATGCACAGAATTTCAAATTTATTTAATCACTCCGCACCAATACAGCACATTTAGAAAACAGATAGCTTAACAATCTTGGTCAAACGTTATAACTGCCTATTTAAAATAAATAATAAAGAAACTGAAACTGAGAAAAACAACAGGTTGACCAACATGTCAAAATAAACTTTAATTATTTATTAGTTTTTAAATATCTGAATTTTTGCCAGACTGTGTCAAGACCTTTCCTGTTTCATCCAGTTTTCTCTCGCCACGCTGTTTTTTAATTTTAAGCAGTTATGAGGCGCGGTGGAAAAACCTGAAACTGCTGCTGCGCCCAGCAGGTTGTTGCTAGGTAATCTCAGAACTAGTAGCATTTTAATTATGGATCGGGAACATTATCAGCAATTCCCGATTTAGAATTTTTTTCAGTATTGGACCTGTTGCAGATATAATCGGATCGGTTCATTTCTCATAAAAATAGATTTGAATACTCCTAATTTACTTTCTGGGGTTTGTGAGCAGACTGAAGGTAATTCGTTTTAATTTTCCGTTTCTTCCAGACGAAGGCTGAGCTGAGCCGGACGGCCGAGTTTCACGCCTCCAGGAGTCTGTGGACCGGCATGGCGCTGCTCTCTGTGCAGGGCGGCGCCCTGGGCTGGCTCACCTGGTGGGTGTATTCATGGGACGTCATGGAGCCCGTCACATACTTCATCACCTACGCCACCAGCATGGGCGCCTTCGCCTACTACATCCTCACCAAGCAGGCAAGACTCACAGATCTGACACTTCAGGAGTTTAATGTTTGTGTCTGGAAATAAACTGGATTTCTCTCACACTTAGCACCAAATTATTGTTCTCTTGTCTTTGCCATTTTGAGCAGTTCCTAAGAAGGATAAATTCAATTTTTCCAAACATTTTGTGTGATTTTATGCAACAACAATAACATATGTATGTAGAATCGCTGCATAAACTTACTAAAACTGATTTTTCTTGGTGCTTTTATTTAATTATCAGTCATTATGTTTGTATTTTCATTTCTGTGGAAGATTTCTCCAGAATTGAGCCGGTCTGAACTGAATCATACATTAATCTGTTTATTATCGCTCCATCAGGATTACGTATATCCAGACGCGAAGGACAGGCAGTTCCTACGTTACTTTTATAAAGGCGCCAAGAAGAAGCAGTTCAACGTGGAAAAATACAACGAACTGAAGGATGAACTCGAACAGGTGACTCAGTTATCATACTCCAGAGTTTGTATTTCTGAATCGAAGAGCCGCAGTTAAATGCTGTGATGTGCTTTCAGGTGGAAGAGGACTTGAGACGTCTGAAATATCCAAACCGGCTGCAGCTTCCGCTGGAACAGATTCAGGCGAAGCCGTGAAAGACGCCGGGCTGGAAGGACTCAGAGACAAATGTTTGTTTTATGCTGATGACGCCATATTTTCACCTTAAAATCTATAAACCTGCATTCTTAATGTAGATGCCATATTGTAGCCCCAACAAATTCACAAACATTGATAATTAAAGTTTGCCTTTCACACATTTTTGTTGTCTGTTATTGTGTATTTTTATGTCCTTGTTTGCAGCATTTTTAATAAATTGCTCAACATTCCTCTTTTTTTATAAATTATTTTGAATTGTAGTTTTTATAAAATTAATTCTTCATTCTTCTGATATTCCAACTTAATTTTGGTAATTTTAATTTTATTCTCTGATCATTACAACTTTATATTCATTTTATTAAGACTTTATACTGGAAATACATTTTATTATTATTATGACTTTTTTCTGGCAAAATAACTTTATTCTTGAGATGATTTTCTTTTTATTAGCCTGGCTCTTCATCATTGCCATTGCATCATTTTCTAATATTATCCTGGAGAGAGTGCAGATTTTGTTCCCTGGTTGCTTAAAGTAGATTTAGGGTTAGGGTCATGACCTTTGACATTGTGGATCCCAGGACTGAAGCCTGCAGAGACAGCGAGTCGGTGGAACGGGGAAGCGTTGCATCCCGGTTGGTTCGTTCCAGAGATTCTGCCGACACGGATCGGTCCACGGATCGGTAAACGGATCGGTCCACGGATCGGTCCAAGCAGTCTGAAGGTGAAAAGCACCGTCAGGTTGACAGAAACGTTTTATATGAGATATAAACAGAAGGTTCAGACATTTCAGGTTATAAAACTCCAGTCATAAGATTTTCTTTACACAAAAATCAGTTTTATATCAGTTTCTGATCCGGTTTCACTAAAACGCAGCAGAACTTTGGTTCAGCACACAAGGACAAAGTTCATCCTGATTAGAAAGATTAAATAAAAAGTTCTGTTTTCAGTGTTTTTGTGTACGTGACTGAGCCCAGAAACAAACTGGGTCAGGGACGCAGAGGGGAATAAAAGCAGTAAGAGCTGAACTCGGGCTCAGACTGACGGAGCGCCGAAAACATCTGGGTCCTTTTTACTGTAAGTCACTTTGAAAAATATTTAAAAATTCAGTGAAAATAACAATTGTTGAGTCTGAACTATATATTGAGGAAATTGCATTAATTCAGGCCTGTTAGAACTGTTTTGATCCAGACCTTATAGAATGACTGACAGAGAGGAAAATAACTCAAAGCAGAAGAAACGTGAAAACGTTAAAATGTTGCCTTTGAATAATCAGGATGCTGGAGCTTCCTGTGTCCAGTGAGATGTGGAGCTTCTTGCTGGTTTTTGGGCTCCTCTGCTGGGGAGCCGACGGATCAGTGACCTGCAAAAACGACCTCAATGCTGAAGTGGACTGGTGAGAAAACATCAAATAGCAAAAATTTGTTTCCAGTTGGACTGGAAACAGCTCAGAACAACATCATGACTGGACAATAAAACCAAATCTAAACTGGATAAAGTTAACTTCACTGTTTATACAATTGGTTTTTATTATTCTTCATCAGGTACATTTTATACAAGATGCCCAAAATGGATCCCACTTCCACTGGTACGGAGTATTTCTACATCGACTCCAGTGGAAAGAGCGAGGAGCTGAACAACATCAACAACCCGAACGGCGTTCTGGGAAACACGCTGCGGCCGCTTTTCAGACCCATCAGAAACATGGTGCCGTCTGCTCTTCCAGTCCATTCACATCTTCATTTACATGGGCTGAAACGATTAATCGTGATTAACTGATTGATTCAAAAAAGGCCACTTACTGTCAAAACAAGACATTCAGAGGAGAAATTAAGACAAAACTGTACAAAGAGTTAAATTAAGTAGTAAAATTAAAAATATGCACAATTTTCAATTTTTTTATTTGACTAATTATCAGAATAATCGTTACTAAAATAATTGCCAGCTGCAGCCCTAACATGCTCTAGAGATAATAGTAAAGTTCTGCAGATCAGTGGATCAGTTGATCCAGTGGATCAGTTGATCCAGTGGATCAATGGTCCAATGGATTATTGATCCAGTGGATCAGTTGATCAGTTGATCCAATGGTCCAGTGGATAAGTTGATCCAGTGGATCAATGGTTCAGTGGATTATTGATCCATTGATCCAATGGTCCAGTGGATCAGTTGATCTAGTGGATCAGTTGATCCAATGGTCCAGTGGATCAGTTGATCCAGTGGATCAGTTGATCAGTTGATCCAATGGTCCAGTGGATCAGTTGATCCAGTGGATCAATGGTCCAGTGGATCAGTTGATCCATTGGTCCAGTGGATCAGTTGATCCAGTGGATCAATGGTCCAGTGGATCAGTTGATCCAGTGGATCAATGGTCCAGTGGATCAGTTGATCCAGTGGATCAGTGGTCCAGTGGTCCAGTGCATCAGTGGATCAGTGGTCCAGTGGATCAGTGATCCAGTGGATCAATGGTCCAGTGGATCCAGTGGTCCAGTGGATCAGTGAATCAGTGGATCAGTGATCCAGTGGATCAGTAGTCCTCAGCCCCCGATGGGCCTTTACGTATCGAACCATCAGATAAAGCTTCTGCTTGCTGGTTTGGTCACCAGTTTGCTGCCACCATTTTTTCCCCGATTTTCCCTTTTCAGAACGATCCGAGTTCAAAGACAGATATTTGGTAATCGATCGTCCCGCGGTGCATAATGTGCTCAGACTGGATTTTAAATATGTTTCTATTTTTATTCGATTAATTGCTTAACCACCAGAATAGTCACGACGGAGCGGCCCTGTGGTTTCAGGTTCGGTGCCTCGGTTAGTCATTAACAGTGTCTGAGCAGAAATGTTGAAGTCTGAACTCTGAATGATGAAGGTTGTGTTTGCAGGAGGAGACCTTCGGGTTCATCAGCTACAGTGATCAGCCGCCAGGATGTAGCGCCGATCAAAAGAGGTTTGGCCACAGCAAAGGTAGAAGAAGCATTTAATCACTTTAATATTGACGGTGCCAGGGTTATTGCTAATGTCTAACACACCTTTCAGCTCCGGAGAAGCTTCCTGCTAATACAGAAGTGGCCATTTTGAAAAAGAGCAGTTAATTAATGCATTAATTAACTTGGCTTCCTTTCCAAGTTTATGTCACATTTCAGCAGCAATGCAGTTCAAGGTGCCGTGCAGGAGGGGCAGGAATTTATCGTATCGTTTATCATTTATTGTGGTAAATTTTGATTTATTGTTGTCACAATAAAGTCCAGTTGATGATATTTAATCAGAATCAGCTTTTCTTACCAGAAGCACAGCGATGTTTGTTTCAGTGCAGCCTGTTCAAAGAACAACAACAAAAAACAAACATAAGACATGAGCAGCGGGTGCTGAGGCTGCAGCCGTCAGGGGAGGCGCTGCGTTTCATGGGATGGGAAGAACAACCGGAGGGTTTTCTACATCGTCAGGATTGTTACTTTTACTATTTTTTCTCCACTGTTTGATCAATAAATGATCAAAAAATATCAATCAATAATTTGGAAGTTTGTTCCAGATTGAATTCTGCTTCTCTGTGTTTGCTTCTGGTTCTGGGGATGCAGAGCAGACAGAACCAGAACCAGAAATATTTTAAAGTCTATTTTCTCAGTGGAAGGACTTTCAAACTGGGTGAGGTGCTTCGTCTTCCTGGTTTTAGTCAGAACGCCAGCAGCAGCGTTCTGGACCAGCTGCAGCTGGAGGACTGATTTATGGGCAGACCTGTGAAGACTCTTCTAAACATAAATGCCTGGATGAGTTTTTCTAAATCTTGCTGAGATGTTAGTCCATCAATCCCATAAATGTCCTCCAGGTGACAGAAGGCCGACTTTGTAACCGTCTTTATGTGCCTTTAAATCAGTGCTTCCCAATTATTTTCCGTTACGCCCCCCCTAGCAAGAAGAAAACTATTCGCGCCCCCCATTCCCCACCGTGACTATCCATCTCTGCATAACATTTTTTTCGCTGAAAAAACTCTAGCGGCTTATCGGCGTGATTGGGATGTAACGTATTTAAGTGACGCGCTAATTTATTTGGCTTCATGCTGTCCGCTGCGAGCATTTTTAGACACAGCAAACACAGCGGTCTTTCCTCTTCTCCAACTGTAGTCACAGTGAAGCCAAGCGCTAAATACGCTTCGTCGTATTTCCTCTTCTTAGCTTTCGGTTGACTTTCTGTTGTCTCATTATCTTTGTCTCTCTCCGCTTTTCTTTTCATCCCTGTGAAAAACTTTTTCATGTTGGGGGTTGTTGAATAACGGAGGCCATAGACAGAACGCAGTCGGAGCTTTTTGTTGACTTAACACTGCTAACCAAGGCAAACCTGTTGTCTTGTAAGTCATGAAATGTTGCACTGTCGCAAACGTGACAGAAGTAACAATGAGAGCGCCACTGCCGCCTACTGTGCGCAATTACACTTTATACTAGTTCGGCCAAAAAAAAGCCTGTTCCCCAGGATCACACGCCCCCCCAGGTATCGCACCGCGCCCCCCAAAGGGGGCCCGCCCCACTATTTGAGAAGCACTGCTTTAAATGTTCAAGTCAGAGCTCATCACTACTCCCAGATTTTAGGTCCTTATACCAACTCTTTCAAGAAATTAAATACATTTTTGTTTCATCAGTTTTTCAGAAACTGTTTATTTTCATATTTAAGTATTCCTGACCTTTGACCCATGTGATGTCAAATGTCACAAGATGGGTTTCATTTCCCATTTTCTGTGCTAATGAAAGTTGTGTTTGTTTTTTCCTGCAGGACTCGTGATGGTGGACAGGACCGGTACAGGAGTCTGGATCTTACACAGCACCCCTCGGTTCCCCTTCAGACGCGACCAGAACAACTTCTGGCCCACCAGCGGGAACAAAAACGCTCAAACATTCATCTGTGTGACGTTCAACTACAACCAGTTCACCACAATAGGTTTGAGTTCAGACATACTGTAGGGTTTACTACTGATGGATTATTTCTAATAATATGTTTAATGTTTGCAGGAACACATCTGAAGAACATCAATGCGTTTCCATTTGAACATTATATCCCAGACAATTTTCACGAGGAACTAAAAACTGTTGTGAGATGGACCGAAGGCCCTCCGTTCAGCCCTGTCCAGGTTGAGGTCTCATTGCTGACATCCAAAGGAAACCAAGGCTTCAAAGCCTTTGCTAAACGAGCCCATGAAGATGAAGAGGGTAAGAGTCGTCTTCTCCCGATTGTTCTTTAATATTCTCCGTTTAAAACTCCAACAGAACCAACAGAACCAGATCACAGATTTTCATTGGTTTATTTATTCTATTTGTATAGATTTAAAGTAAGTCAGTGTTTTCTGGAAGTTTGTTCCAGATTTGAGACGTCCATATCCCACAATGCAACACATACTTTGCTACAGAAGTGTTTCACCTCATAGGCTCAAGGTTGCAGATCTCTGTATGGTTCTGTGTTCACACCGGCACAACGAACCCACCGAACAGGGAAACCGATTTAAATGGGCCCCAATTAGCTGCATCTTCTTCTTCCAGTTGGAGATCTCTACCTAAGCATTGCCAAGAACATCAGGAGCGACGTCTACGCCCAGACATGGGGCTGCCAGCGCGACCGGTCCGACTCCTACTGTTCCAATGAGTTTTCAGTCATTAATGTCGAAGACTTACTGGTGGGTAACCAGAGGAGGTGGACGCCTAAAGTGGACCATTCCAAGTGGTGCGTAGCTAAGGATCAGAACAAACACTGGACCTGCATCGCCGACATGAACAGGGCCGTATCTCAGTTCGAGCGGTTCGGCGGGGCGCTCTGCATCAACCTCGAGTCGGTCCAACGTCGCTTTCTGGGTTTCGCTCGCCATCCTCAGATCTGTAGGAAACGCCCCCGCCCAGTTTGTGATCCAAACTCTGATGAAGTCAATCTTCAAATTATCGGTTAGCTCGGCCGAGTCCAAGTCGATCGCATCAGATCAATTCAGCTTTTCGATCAAACTGGAGGTAATTCCAGAATAAAATAAAATGCACGTTTCTTCCTGGTTGTTTGAAAAAATACATTTCAAAATCAAAAAACCTGAATTTTAAGAAGCCGTCACGCTGATGTAAACTTCATGTTTATCTCTGCCTTTATTTCTGCCCTGATAACCTTGATCTTTAACTCCAGAGGTCAAGAAAAGTGATAAACACTTCTTGTATCAATGTTAATTTTTGCAAAAATAAGCAAATTTGCTCCATAAAACTGTATTTCTCACCTTTTCCTACATTACAAATTCTGAATAAATCACAAAACATTTTTATGGCTAAAAAAAAGTTTTTATTTTTTCACAGCTCATAAACATAAACGATTGTTAAGACAGTTCAAAGTGATTTAATTGCCTTGTAGAGCTTTAAGAGACAGAAACACTTTCAGGTTTTCATGTTAGCGTTAGTTGACAGTTGGAATACAAATCTGCATTGAGAGACGAACCAAGAACTGGATAAGACAACAAAACAACATAGATTCCCTTTATTGTCTTTCAGGAGTGAACTTTAAAGATGTCCTATTATGTTTCCCTGAACACGTTAGAGGAGGCTGATGGCCTATACAAAACATGTTCATTACATTTTTTGCACAAAATCATTCTTAGATAATGAAATTGTGTTTTGTTTGGGCTGTTTTAGGGGGTCATTACTATAAATCCAAACAAGCTGCTGCTGGCCACGCCCCCCCAGCTCAATGTTTACATTCACATGAGAAAATGGCTGCAAACAGATGAAAAATTATACAACTGCACACCTTTGAAAAGTAGAAGTAGAGCCGGATGCACAACCAACAACAAGCCACCAAGTGGTTTCTAGATGTTAAGTCAACATCAAGAAACCATTTGGTTTTTTATTTATGTCAAAAAATCAAAACACAACTCTTGTCTTTTCCAGCAGCCATTGTACAGCGCATACTGGAGCTCTCCTGAGGTTGCTAGGTAACAGGCAGTGCCTGTTAATGTGAGATGTTACATTCACAAAAACATCAACTTATTGCCAAAACTGACTAGAAACCAAATGGAAGCATATAAATGTACAAAAAGTGAATTTTGCACGATGGGTCCAGAAAACAGCCTGGATCAATGGAGCCTCTGAGGAGATACCTGAGATTAGAAAACCCCTGAATCATTTCTGAAAGTTATGCTGCTACTCACCAAACGAGATCAATTACAAAAGAATTTAAAGACTAAGATTAAAACTTCCTGATTGTTTCAACTTTATCAGATAGAGAGATTTAAGAGCAGAAGGCGTCTCTGTGCAAATGATCGTCCAGGAATGTTGTCAACATATAAAAAGAAACAAAACAACTATATATTTTTCTCATCTTTGTGGAGTGGATCAGCCGTACCAGCTGACACGCGAAGGCTCAGATTTGAACCAACCAATCGAACCGTTGATCACTTCTTCGGCCGGAAGTAGAGCTTCTTGGTGAGCATCGAAGCGAAGCACGGTACCTGTTTCTTGCCAATTGCGCTGCGGTCTCTGGCGTTATCGACTCGGCGCATCGAGACCTTTCTGTTGACCAGTGTGAGCAGCTCCGTGAACTCCAGCGAGCCGCCGTACTTCCGGAGTAACTCACACAGATCCTGGATGTACCAGGAGCCGTTGATGACCTCTCTGTGGGAGTAGTAACCTGAAAGCCAAAGCAGGAAACGGATGGCGAGTCAAGAAATCGTCTTCCTGCCCTCCAGCGTTGTGCGCATGCGCAAGATTTCCTAATATAAACAATAACATTCAACTGCAAAAAAGCAACAGTGCTGCTTTTGACCCGACCACAGCCTCGCTCACCCCTGGCCTGAACTTCCTGGCCACGCCCCTCAGGGCCTCTTGGCTCCGCCCACTTTGTTGGAGTTTTCTACATTTGTTTAGTGGGCGGGGCTTTTGCTTTCACAGGGGGCGAGTTACATTTTGACTCATCATTGTCCATTTTAGGCAACATTTCTTTGAGTTTATTTTACATTATTTAGCTCCTTTTAAAATCCACTGGTTTGTTACTTTATAAGGATTAACTGAAGAGCAAAACATTTATTTATATTAAATATTTATCTGCTTTTTCTATTTTAAAGACAAAGTGTCCTCAATAATTTCTTCCAATAACACATAACTACTTTGTCATATTTTAAAATCTTGTCAACTTTGAACATTTCTGAACACAAAAACATGGCGGCTGCAGTTGGACTGACCTGGCGCCGCTGAACGTAACGCGGACGGCTCACCTTCAGCAACAGAGTAACACATGATGAAATCGGCGCCGGCAGGGAGGGTTTGGACGGCGCAGGCGTCCACCACCGTCTCATTTATCTCCATGTCGCTGTCCACGACGTCGCAGGGCGTCACACCAATTTCGTGCTGCTCCCCACGGCACGCCTTCACACATGGAAACATCCATGTTCAGACCTTCTGCTGTTTCCTAAACCCACAGATTTCACTGTGATGTTTCTACCTGCACAACAAAGATCTTGGGTTTTCCGACGAGGCTCTGGCACTTGTCTCCTCTGAACATGTCGGTGATGGTCTTGAGGCTGATCTTGCCATCGTATGCGTAGACGTGATCGTCCTCGCCGTGGCTAAGGAAGGCGAGCAGGAAGCAGTCGGCGTCTGAGTGATCGTCTTTGGCAGCTGGAGGAACAAAATGAAGGTTTGATCAGCAGCTAAAGATCATTTCACATCAAGAGAATCCTCCTTCATTTGTCCAACAATTAAGGTGAATTCACACCAGCCCAGTTTAGCCCACTTTTATCAAACTCTGGTCCATTTATCTACAAACCCCTGGCTCACATATAGTTCTGTATGTGAGTACCAAGTGGACCAAAGACCGGTCCAAAAGCAGAAAGTGGACTACAGCGCAGGGCATGTGGTTATTGCTGCAGCGCCCCGACAGGCGAGGAGGGGAACAGCTTTTTTATTTTGTTTGGATCGTTTCACTTGGCGTGAAATCAAACTGTACCAGCTGAAAATTCACAAATGTTGCAACTTCTGTGTCCAATCGAATCAAGTCTAACGGGCGTGAAAACATCCTGAAAGCTGCAGAGACTTTTATGAAAATATTTCATAAAAGCGTCACCATGTCATGACAGTTCATCAGAAAAGCTCGCTCTTTGCCTTCTCTCTGACCTGAAGAAAACAACCAATCACAGCCTCCTGCTTCTGATTGGTTGTTTCCAGTTAGAACTGGGAGAACTGGAGAAGGCAGAGGAGTTAGATTTTTTTTGCAGCTAATCTGTCTCATCAACAAATACATAAAAAATTAAAAAAAATAATAAAAGTTACAGTAGCTTTACAGTATATGAAATACGTTCATATTTAAAACAACAAAATAAACTACATATTCTGATAGAGGGTTCCAGTACCTTCATGGATTTTTTCCAGGACGTTCACCTGTGTGTAGTTATCATAACTCCTGACATCAAAGTTCAGCTCCAGCAGCCTGGGGAGACAGAATGAGCTCAGGTAAAGGTGCTGCGCCTGAGCAGCCGGTTCTTCCTGCTGCTCAGGAAGAACAGGTACCTCCTCTCCAGGTTCTGGCGGTCGGCGTTCGTCCCGTTTCTGGGGTTCAGGCGCAGGTGCCAGAAGAAACTCTCCTGGTTGAAGATGAGAGCAAGGCCTCGCCGCTTCCTGGTCATCTTGTATTCCTCCGCAGGATCCAAAACGACGGGGCTGTTACACAAAGAAACGTCAAAGAAGCAACGATTAATCAGACTGATAATGATCAACTTATACAGTCATCAATTAATCATTAACTGGAGTATGCAGAGTAAAAATCAGGCTGTTTTCTAAAATAATAACACACCCAGAGCAGTAATTAAGCCAGAACTGTGAAAAATATGTAGTTTTTGCATCATTAATAAAAGTCAAGAAATAAAAGTCAAGATCAGGAGAATAAAGTCGTACAGAAATAAAGTGGTAATAAGTCGTTCGACCATAAACTCATATCATGAAGTGGCAATATTATCACATTCTCATTATTCTACAAATGTATTCTTGTAACTAAATATCATTTTATTTATTATTTTCTTAGTGCTGCATTAATACTCCATGGAGCAACACAGAACTCCTCTAGAGGCTATTTTAGCTTTGAATTATGTAAAAAAATAAAACCTCTTAAGCTCCTTCAGCTCATTGATCATTAATTACTTAATCAGAGTAACAGTTCAGCAGAAAGGCCTGAGTTTTCCACATGTTGAATTATTTGTATTTTTATGCATTTCTAGTGCTGTATAAAATAAGCTTGTGTGGTTAAATAAAAAATCAGGCAATTCCTTTCAATCTGAAAGTCAGAATAGTGAATAGAATAAATTGATCATTAAAATAATCGTTAACTGAATGTTGTTAATCTGACAAAAACACAAAATAAAAAGTGATTACCTGCTGAAGAAACCATCAGTCTCTGTTAAATTCTCTATAGATGCTGCAGAAGGAAGAGACATTTTTAAATCAATAACACTGCAAACACAAAAGAAAAGAAAGAAAAGTCGAGACGCCTCGACTCCAGTCACACCCTGCTGGCTGGCCTCCCAGTCTGGCCTCCCAGTCTGTGCTGGGAAAACGCTGCAGATCCACAGCGAGGCGGCGAGTCTTTAACCTGTTGCTGGGAGTATTCAGCTCATTGTAAATGATATAAACTAAATAATGAAATATGAAAAATACTCTAAAATGTCTAGATTGTTCTTCTTCTTCTTTCCTCCAGTCCTTCCCGTTTCTACGAGGTCGGCTGCTTGGCTCAATCACAAACATCCGACTTTATAATCTCAGAGAACAGGCAACATCCAACTTTTAAATATTACTAATTGTTCTAGAAATGTGAGTTTTTAGTGAAAATTTGCTTTTCTTTTTATCTATGATACAGCCAACAACTTTATTATTATTATTATTATAATAAGTTTCCAGTGAATCTTCTAATCAAAGCTTAAGTGTCTTCAGTCAGAGGCTTTTTCAGATCTGCTGTAACACAAACTGCTACAGGAGATCTTTCCTGCTTACAGCCATCAGTATCTATAACTGTGAAGAAACTTGGATGATATTAGTTACAATATTTAATTTTCTTGTGGACAAATAAAGTATTTTTGAATTCAATCAATTATTTAAAAAACAACAACAAAAATAAATTTATTGATCAACATTTTTGCACTATGATGTGGTTTTTCAGCTGTATAAAATGTATTCCTTTATTATTTAATCAACACACCACAAATGCCTAATTGTGTCTTCGCAACGCCAGCAGAAAATCGACAAAGATTTGCAGACATCTGTAGAGGAAAGGCAGCATGATGTCAATCAGAAAACAGTCATGTTTCCACATACATGCATGTTTTTGCATGTCCCCTGCTGCAGGCTGGTGTTGACTACATCCACATTTATTACAGCTAAACATTCAGGTGCTTGTTTTTTCTATGTTGCAACGAGCAGAGGCATTTCCACCACAGAGCGTACACAGAATCAGGTCTAGCAGTTCATTTTTAGTGAGTTAAAGATGACAGTCATCTGCATGGCTGCACAGATTTAGCTCAACCTGAGAAAAAGACAAAACAGATCCAGGTGCAGTTTTCTGCAGTAGGTGTTAAAATATCCATTTAGTTTGGTCATAAATGATTCTGAAAGTACTTTATAATCTGTGAAATGCACTAATATGTTTTTATTGGGTAATAAAAGTGAGCCAAGTTTAATAAAAGCAAATTCATGTGATATTTTAGTTTTGCTTTTATTTTTAGAGCTCATTCCTGGAGTGGATACTCACCCACACTGTCTGTGGCTGTGGACACACTTCCTGGTGAGAAAGAAAAACAAAACTCAGAAAAATGATTTACTTCCTGAACCTGCTCAACCAGCTGTGATACAACACACTGAGAAAGAAAATAAAGCATTTAAAAATTTAAAAAAATAATAATAATATAGCAAAGAATAACTTTCTATGACTGGAGTTTGACAAGCTGATATGAACTGGAACAGTAAACATATGTGAACCCATTTTTTTAGTTGTTTTACCAAAAAGTTTAGTTTCTTTGGATAGTTTCATATTTAAGACATAAACATGTAATAATGTTGCTATTTTTACCTGCAATGTCACCTGACATGTTGACTTTTCGTCTTGGCTCGGAGTGGGAGACTGAAAGCTGCTTCCTTAAACAACCAGTAAAACTAGCTGGCACTTAGTCCCGCCCCCGCGATGTGATTGGCTGGAAATGGAAACCGGAGCGAACGATTGGTTATCTTGAATTAAAAAGCAACAGGTTTACGGAAACGACGGGCGCAATCGAACAAAGCGTTTCACAAAGGCTATAAATAAATCTACAGAAACTTACAGAACATTATCAGTCCACTCAGTGAAAGCAGGGGTGTCCAAAGCGTGGTTCAGGGGCCAAATTGCGACAATTTGACTGATTTTGTGAGGTCAAGAAAGCAGTACATTTGGCCAACAACACAGCAAGTTTTTTTTTTTATTTTGAAACTTAATATACAAAATATTTGGTGGAATGTGAAAGTTTCACATTTTAATAGTCATGCCTTTGTAATTTTTTTCACCCAACGGTAGGTCAAGGCCATTGATTTTTTGTTTTCCACTGAAGCACAAAGCAAAATAGAATGAAACAGGACAATATTTAATAATTATTTAATATGTTACGAGAGCCTTTGGCTGATTTCTATATGTTTTTTCTAATTAATCTTTGATTTTCTGCTCATTTGCTGTTGTTTTGTGCAAAACAAAGGAAAAAGAATGAAAAAAGTATTTATTTTGCCTTAAATATCATATTCTATCCCCCAATAATCAGTTTCAATTTAATTTAAGCATTGGCAATAGGGTAAATTCACAGGGATTACAAGAACATTGAGATTAGCATCATGTGAGAATAATCCAGAATAAAAAGCGACATCATTTGTTACAAAATGTTGTAGAACATTGATGTGTGCTTTATTACTGACCTTTGAACTTTGTAAAACCCTTTTAACTGTTTGTTAAAATGTTGAGTCCAGTCAAAACATGAATGAAACCAGTTTCCATTTCATTACAGAAACCTCTGGATATACAATATATACATAAATAGTGGATCACAAAGGGACAAATATTAGCTACGACCTACAAGAAACTTTTTATTTTACATTCACTTCGCATTGCAGTGTTTAATTTTAGCCAAAGAGGCTACATCCCTGAGAAAAATCTACACGTTTTCAGAAAAGTTTATTTATCCGGCGTCTGGATTTCAGTTTGTTTTTCTGTTAGAGCTCCTTCTTCACCTCGTACTGGCACACGCAGGCGTCCCGTTGGCTGTCCAGGTACGGCTTGCAGCCCAGGTGCATGACGGCGTCAAAGAGGAGCTTGACTGCAGACTCGCACGCTGCGAAGGGATGAAGAGCATAAAAACAATCAGAAAGATCAGACAAACATTTAATAAGAGTATTAAATATATAAATACTTCCATGAATAGTTTTAAATATTTTTTAACAACAAAAGAAAATCTGGCTCCTTATTTAAAAACTTAAGGGTTAGATTTGAATTTCAGCTCATAAAAGCCTGATGACATTTAAAACAAAGCTTTGGCTCCATCTAGTGGACACAATGTGTCAAACTTTTAAACAGCAGCTTTCAGTTTTCCTCCAATGGCAACAAGTTTTTCTTTTCACACAATCACGAGAAAAAAAAGCTGGACTATTTGAAGTTTTCAAGAAAAAAAACATATTAGAATCAAAAAAAGATGTGATATGAACTAAACATTTTAGCACAATAGTTTGTGGTACTACTGTGGCACCACAAAATGAATTAAAGAGTCATTGCAAATGAGGAAAAAAAATAACATGACAGAAATTCACATTTCCACCAGAAAACTGGAAAAGTCATAAATTTGCAAGAAAAAAAAATACAATTTTCACATTTAAAGCTGTAGTACATAACTTATTTTTTTAAAATAACTTTTTTTATGTATATATATGTGTTGAAACTATCACCATGTCATAAAACAAGTTATGAAACAATCTGTGCCTTCTCTCAGTGCTAACCAGAAACAACAAATCAGAGCCAGGAGGCGGGCCTTAGTGCTGACAATCACTCATAGCAGATCCTGATATGAATGCTAAGGCTGGTTAATTTTCCTGTAACTGTAAGTTATTTCTTCACCATTAGGACATTTTGAAGTAAGTACATGAGAGTGATTGACAGCAATAAGACCCGCCTGCTGGCTCTGATTCGCTTGGAGTGAGTGGTGCATTTCTTCAGACAGCAATAGCTCAAGGAGCAGGTGGAAGAAATCAATGTTTTCACAGGTTATCTTTATCATCACCTGTCACAAGATGGTAAGAGTTTCACACATATGTAAAAACAAAAACAAACACATTTTTATAAACATTACAAACTGGAGCTTTAAGTTTTCTGATGGCGGCAAAAGGCGACGTCCAGGCCGACCTCTTACCCTGGACTGTCTGAGCCAATCCCAGAGTCCTCTGCACGTTCCTGCAGATGGTCTCCAGGCAGTCCTGGAACTGATCGTCGCAGTCGTGCTTCAGGCGGCCGCAGGTGTCGTAGCAGCGGTCGTGCTGGTTGCAGCATTTGGTCATGGACGGGATTCCCAGGTCAAACTGGAAACGACAGCATGGTCACTGGGTTTGCTGGACTCACAGGAAAACAAAGCGTATTTACCAAAACTGAAGCAGATTACATGAAATCCAAAAAGCGGGGAGCCGCATCCGTTGGGAGGAGGGTGCCTGTAGCCGGGTCGAGGCATCGGTTTGAATCCTGACAGACAGAAAGAGGAAAGCTGCTGCATTGAAATAAAACACTGGAATAAATTCACTTTTCAACATATATTTTACTCATTGACACAATTTTTTCAATTACTAATCACTGTCTTTACAATGCTATGCTAAAGAATAAGATGGATTTCTTTTGTTCCCTTGTCCTGACTGACACCTTTCATCTACAAAATTCTTCTGCAGTTTTCTGTCTTTATTGCATTTTCAAAAATAAATCAGACATTGCAATATTTTAAGTAAAACTTATTTTAGATCCAAAAGATACTGCATTGTAAAATGGTCATTATGGAGAGAAAAAGGAATACATTTCCAACAAAAATAAAACTCAGAAACTTTAAGATTAAGCTCAGAAATTTTCTAAATAAATAAAAAGAAGAAAGATCTGAGTTTCAGAAGTTGAAGATTTCCAAATGTTGAGATTAATCTCATCATTTCTGAGTTTTTTTTTCTAAATTTTGACTCGAAGTTTAGAAATGTCCTTGTTTTATTTCTGGGATTAATCTAAAAATTTCTGAGTTTTTTTTTTCTCGCCAATTTTTTGTCTTTTGTAGCTCAGAAATATCCGTGTTACTTCTACAAAATGTCTGAGATTAAAATCAAAACTTCTGAGTTTCCTGACAGAAATTTACTCTTTTTTTTAAACAATGGCTTTAAATCATGATTGTAGAAAAAAAAACATCTCAGATGTTTGTGTGAATAAAAAATGTCCAGGTTCAGACTCCAAATGCTGCAAGGTGTTGGAACTAAAGTGTTGCTTTCTGCAAAGTCTCATGTTGTTGTTTGGTTGTTGCTTTGGACAACCAAACTTTGATGACGTCACCCGACATCCAGGCTTTAGCCAACGGAAAATCCAGGTTTAACTTCACTCCTTATTTTACGTTTTTTGAACTATTTTAAACAAACAGTCGTAACTGGCATAACATTAAACCAAAGGTCCTCAGACTCACCATCGCTGCACCGGTACCGACAGAGTCCGTCATCTCCGCCGAACAGGTCCAGCGCTGCGTTCAGGTACGTGTCGATCTTGTGAATCCCGTTCCGGATGGTTCTGAGAGTCATCCTCCAGTCCGGGGTCTCCGGTTCTTTCTCACAGGCAGAAACAGCTGGGAAAAGGCCGCAGCAGAGCAGACCGAGCAGCAGAACCGGGCCGGACAGAGCCGCACCTGGACCCATCATGCCAGCTGAGGTTCTGCCTGACCTGCCGCTCCGATCTGACACGTTTTAGCTAAAAACATACCAGCGACCAGACAATCAGCAGTTGTTACATGACTTCCGGGTTTCCCATGTCACGTGATCCTGGACAAACAATGTCGTCACTTTTGGAAATCGTCACAGAGGTTCCGTCTTGCATCAGAGTAACTTTTTCAACAGTTACGGTGTTTCAAAGCGTTATTTGATACTAATTATTCACGAACTACATTACCCACAGTTCACAGCGGCGCAAAAATCCTTTAACCATCAAAGTATGAAAGCTGATCAGGGGATCAGTTTACGTCACAGAAATCCCAGAAAAATAAGTCAGATTTCTGAAAATAAAGGAAACTAATCTGAAATTATTCAAAATCAAAATTTTTAAAAAGTAAAAATTCTGAGATTAAAGCCAGAAGTCTAAAGAATTTGAGTTCTGACTAGTTTCAGAACTCCAATTAAAGACAAGCTTGAGAAAATTTTTTTGAAAATGAGTCAAAATTCTGAGAAATAGGTTAGAATTCTGAAATTAGAATTCATTATAAAAGTCAAAACTTTCAGATTAAAGCAAGAAATCTGAGAAAAAAATAATTGAGAAAATAAATTACTTTCCACCCATCCCAGATCTCTAATCCTTTTCCATGTCAGACAAATGACTTAATGCTAAAGGGGGGGAAAGCTTCAGTATTAAAATGCAGATTTATGACTTCAATATATTTAATCAAAACATTTTCTCTGAGCTTCCTCCGTCTGCAAAATTTAAAATATTTCCCGTAAAATTTTCTGTGTAGAAAGTGTGCTACAGCACCCCCTGCTGGATGGATGTCACGTTGAAAATTCACTCATTGGTTTCAGCTTTTGAGAAATTTGACTTTTAACTTCTCAAAAGCTTTATGTTTGTCATAAAGTTATGACAAACATAGCTTTATGAAAATGCTTCTTAGTATCCTTATTAACCTTCAGGAATCCGAACATTTGCAGAATAAAACCATCTCTGCTTATCAAACTCCAGGAAAATCCAGATATAGAAGCAGAGAACACTTTAAATCCAGACTACAGCACCAGTTTGACTTTATTTAAATAATCAGGCCAGCACTGCAGAGAAAATTAGTTTCTTCTAGAGTTACTTAAATATGTGCCAAAACTTTTAAACATTCAAAAATAAAAGTGTACAGCCATTAATGGATGAAGATGTTGATGTGCACCGATTTCCACTTTCAACCCGAATAAATTTTGCAGAAGAAAATCCAAATAATCAAATTTTCTCCACAAGAAAAAAATAAAACATCCAGACTCTGTTGCTCCTTCGTGATATGGATGTCAGTGAAGAACGTCTCGGAAACGATGCCGAAATCTCACCGTTAAATCTACAACCAGGCGTCCGGGTCCTTCTGGCTCAACAAAAATAAGTCTGGAGTTTTGGTCGGTGTGCAGACCAGTTCGTTATGATGCAACAAGGCGATTCCCGGGATCAAGCTGGAATGAGGAGGAAGAGCCGTTCGCAAAGAATAAGACGCTTTTTAACCTTAAATAATTTAATAATCTTTTGCTCCTATCGTGAAGCCTCTCTGTTTAAAAAAAACAAACGTATACATCTATTCATATATTCACATTTTCTACAATCTCATCCGCCTCGGAACAGGTTGTTTAGTCTGTCCAGCTCCTTGCAGTTCTCCATCGTCATAAGCTCCGCCTTCTTCCGCATGCGGTCGTCCCTGTAGACCTTCGCCGCGTAAAGCAGGTCCGTTTCTGCACGAGAAAAACAGCGTTAAGACAGCGAGACCAAAGGACACGTTACAGGACAAAGAGTGGGTCACTGACTCGTCTGTCTCTCCTTCCAGCAGGTGTTCCTGACGTTCGTCACATAGTCTTCTTCTACGTTTTTCTCTATTTGCTGCAGAGCCGAGCCTTTAAAGTCCGATTTGAAATCCCGAGTGACGTAATAATCGACACGCAGGTTGCCTGTCTGCCTCTTGACGGTCTGACCCGTCGACCTGGAACAAGATGGAGGACAACACAAAAATATTTATTTTAACTTACTAATTTCCATGAATTGAAACTCTACGATATTTTTAAATGTATGTACGAACCCTTTTTTTAAACCAGACAAAAGAGATGCAGCGATTCCGACTTTTAGGATCACGATTGAATTCAGAAACTATTTAATTCAGAAACCAATTTTTCTATTGAACCAGTTTGGAAATTTTGTTTAAATTATGTGACTGACAATAGGAAAAGATGATGTCAAATCTAACATTTACTTGAAACAATTTCAAAGATATGGCCTTCTCCCAGCATCTGAGCCAGTTTAGTTCCTGTTTATTGCAGCCATGCGTAGCATCTGATGAATTACAATTTTTAGCCTAACTGGTTCGCTCCCAATAGACAGAAACATTCCTATGTTCTTTTCTGTGACATTTTAAAAGTTGGATTAGAAATCCAACTGTGTGCAGACGTACGGTCTGGAGAAGAGGCTGTACGGCGGAGGGGAAACCATCATCTGGCTCAGAATCGACACTAAAATCAGAACCACGATGGGCATCAGCTGGATGAACATCGAGAAGCCGCCCTGCAGAGAAACAGAGACGACATCAATGAGACGGAGGCGATTCCGAGACAGAAACCACTCTGAAATGACTCGGCGTACGTCTCCTCGCTCCTCCGTCCTCTCCTGGCGGTAGTCGTTGTGATGGCTGTAGCTCGTCCTGCCGTTGGTGAACGTGTGGGCGCTGGCTGCAGACAGAACGTCACAGCTGGGGTCAGAAACCTGCCGCCATGTTGTCCAGACAACCGCGGCTCTCTACGTTAGCATAAAATATCTAACAACCATCCTGACAGAAATCAGGAGGGAAACAAAAGATTTGTTTGTAGATTGGTAATAATCAGGGATGCATCAATATGAAAATCTGGTGTATCTGATATTAAACGACAGAATTATGTGTTAACCTGTTTTATAGCACAATTAAGTTACTATGTTACCCTGAGGTATTATAGAAATGCTGCAGATATATATGAAATATGACTAAAAACCTTTACTTTGTAATTACTGCATTTATTTTTGACTATGCAACTTGGAATCAGAAGATTAACGTAGAAATAATAGATAGATGTTGATGAATAATTATAAAAGACTTTTTGTAAAACTGGATATAAATCCAGGCCTTAAGAGGTTAATGTTGGTGAATTGTGTAACAGTGAGGCTGTTCATGGACCGTTCTCTTACAGGAGGGGAAGCCACCGCCGAAGAACATGTTGAAGAGGTCTTCAGGCGTGATGTCGGCCTCGAAGCCCCGGTGGAAGTCGAAGCCGCCGCCGCCGTGGGATTGGCTGGGGCTGCTGGGCTCCTCCCCGCCTGTCATGTCGTACTGCCGCCGCTTCGCCGCGTTGCTCAGAACCGCATACGCATTCCCAATCTCTGAAGGGAGGACAGCAACATATATCCAGCAGGTTAGAGGTTATGACTCTACTCAAAATTTTGAGTATTTACTGCCTTCAAGTCATAATGACAAAAACGTAACAGAAATAAACATGTAAAATGTGCTTATAAATCTATTTTTACGTTTAACTTTACAATTTTATTATTAATCCATTTATTAGTAAAATGTTGAATCAAAAATGCATCATATTGCTCCAATTTTATGACTAAACGTTATAATGATGTGCATTAAAGTACACAAACGCTGATCTGCATGTAGAAAAATGAAACGGTTTCTTCAGTGCGCAGTGAGTTACTTTTAAAGGCCTCCGTCGCTCCCGGTGCGTGGTTTTTGTCTGGGTGGAACTTGAGAGCGAGCTTCCTGTACGCCTTCTTCAGGTCGTCGTCTCCGGCTTCTTTGTTCACACCCAAAACTTCGTAATAATCCTTACAGCGCTTTATTCTGCAGGACAGAAACGTGGAGAGATGGATCCAAACGTCAGGATTAAACCTCTGTGATCATCTGCAGAACTCAGATGTTTTTCTGCCTTGATCGGTCATTTTCTGAAAACAGGTTCGTGTGCTACAGCAGAGAACAGCTGGTGGTCCTCACAAACAGAAAGGAGACAGAAAATCAACAAACAACACCAACAGTATCTGTACTCTTGCTTTATTACAACTTTACTCAGATAATAACTTTATTTTTGTATTATTTTGACATTACCATATGACTATTCTCAAATTATTGCGATTTCATCCTCTCATTACAAAACAAATTTATTCCCATTATAGTTAAAGTTCAGGATCGGCTGTTCTGGGTTTCCACCAGAGGTTGTTAATAATCTGATTTATTTGGAGACACTTTTTTTCCAGATAGAGTCTGAGTTTTATAAAATCAGGATCCAGGATCCTGAAACTGAATCAGGAAATACTTCAACAGTGTAAACACCTTTTTGTTGTGTTTTTTCTTCTAAAAACAGATTTATTGAATCTTCTAGTGGAACTTTATAGAATAAATGATTTTATAGTGAAACATGTGTAAACCATCTAACACTGTTTGTTTAATGTTTGTTTCAGTCGCTTGGTTTCCAGCGTTAGCGTCTCTCAGCCTCACGGGAAGAGCCAAAGATAAACTGGTTCCCACAGAAACGGCTACACACAGGTGGGGTTCAAGGTTCATGTTAACAGTGTTTCTGCGCTGATCCTCCAGTCTCACCTGCGGACCCCCTCCACCTGCTCGTCTGTGAAGCTTTTGGAGTCGCCTCCTGTCGGTTCCTGACTCTGTCCTCCCGCCTGCGACGTTTCCGAGTGATCTTTGGGCCGCCGGCGAAACGCGCCGTTACCCGCCGAGCTCCCATTGCTCGTCAACGCGTCCAACAGAGCTGGAGAAAACCAGAAACAGGAAGCTTATTTAGCTTAGTGTTTTAGTTGTAGAAACAGCAAAATGTTTTTCTCAAGCTTTCAATCATTAGTCAGATCAGTTTCTGTTTTACTGGAATGTTTTAAAATAAAGAGGAACTGGTAAATAAAAATAAAATGAAACAAACTGTCAAGTTTAGGGCACAGCAACAAAATGAATGGCTGGATGCATTATAACAGTTTATTTTTGTCTTTAACTCCTCCTGGAAAGGGAAACATTTAAACTTTCTTTTTGTTCTTTTCTCATCTGAGCCTGGATACAGTAACAGATTATTAGTGTAACATGCTGTCATGTAGACATTTGACCCACCTGGACGTGTTAGCCTGTGTTTACCTGTGTTAGCCTGCCTGTTTTCATGCCATGTATCCCGGATTACCAAAGCTCAGAGGGCCAATCATTCAATTAAAGGATTGGCCTCCTTCCTGGCTAAAGCTAACCACTTGTCCACTACCAACCCTTCTGGTTCTGAACTATGACCCCAATGTATCCGAAAGTGAAATTAGAGCTAAACTCAATTTTACAACCCAACAGACTTTAGCCTCTGACCTCATGAGTGGTCAACAAAAAGTTGTTGTGAAACTAAGCAGAGCTGAAGAGGATTAGAGCCACAGGAAAAACAAAACATTTTCTCTGAATTCTGAGAATATTAATCTGAATTAATGAGGAAAAAGACAGAATCATTAGGGGGGAAAAGTAACAATTTAGCCAGTGGCAAAAATCAGTTTCAACAGGAAAGAAAAATCGAGATAAATAGGAAGAAAATAAAAACTAATAAGGAAAATGTTTTTCAGTTTTTAAAACGCCAAAACAAATTAGAAAAAAAAAGTCTTACGTGAAAAAAGTCAACTTATGGTAATTCAAGTCCATTTAAAACATTTTATTAATTCGAAAGGGAAATTAAATATACAGGGACAAAGTAAAAATTAATAGAAAAGTCGAAATTAAAAAGAAAAGATTATTCCCGAAAAATATAATAAATGGGAATCAAAAGTCAGAATGAATGGGGGAAAATTCACAAGAAAGAATAAAGATGGGTAAAAATCTTTCACCCATCAAGTCAGAATTAACAAAAAAAAAGTAAATTTTGAGATTTATGTCTGAGATTAAAGTCAGAATCTCCGTTTTCGGTGACCCAAATTAAATTCACTAATAAATTAATTAAAAGTTAGCAGTTTAAAACGTGTTTCCCTTTAAATTGAGCACAAGCTATTGTAGGCTAGGTCCAAAGCTCAGCTGGCTAACTAAGGTCTTTGTTACTAAATTTACCAGGATCATAAAATTAACTCAGTAAATGAGCCCAAACGGATGTTTGTCATAATCACGGTGAGAGAGAGAGAGTTCTCACCGTGAATGGCGGTACAGAACATTAGCTACATGCTAACGGCAGGTAGATTTACACAGACATGGCTAAGCTAACCTCCTTCCCGGCTAACCTAGCCTAGCCTCACCTTTAGCTCTGTCGGTCGGGTACAGACGCTCCGCTTTGTAGAGAAACTTCAAGGCTTTATCTTTGTCTCCTGCGTCCAGAGCTTTCGTGGCGATGTTGATGCATTTCTCGGCTTCGTCTCTATTCCCTTCCATCTTCTCTTCTTCCTCTTCCTCCTCCCCCGGCAGTCAGCTGATTAGCTCAAACCACGTGGTCTCTGACAGGTAAACCGAGGCGGTGTTCAATCTGTGCTACCTCGTCAGATGCTAACAAACCGAGTTGTGTTCGTGTTAAATATTATCATTGGATAACATTATTTGAGTGACGAGACCGAAGATTAGGAGTTATGCTTAGTCATCGGAATAATTTATATGCACGACAAAACCACAAAAATATAACTTCCTTCATCAGAATCAGTCCGTTTATAATGAAAAGTTATTGCAGTTGTATGCACTAATTCTTTTCTAAAATATTTTAAATACAGAAATGTTTGTAATAATAAAACAGTATCAGACAGGGAAAATAGGTTTTTATTAAAATTGAATAAAAAATCTACAAATACAGAACATTTTAGCACATTAATACGTTACAGCACTATTCTGTAAATACTGCTAGCTTACTCAAACTAAAAAATACTTTATTTCAAACAGGTCTTAAAAAAGCAATGTGTAGGCAGAAGAAAAATCATGTGAACATAACCAAATAATTTGCTTACCAATAGGAATAACATTTATGTAATCCTGTACATTTCCTCAATTTAATGACTTGCTTAAAGTCCCTAATTATCAAAAATTTCTAATTATAACCATGTTATAATATTCCTGTTCCTGTTATAATATTCCTGTTCCTGTTCAATATACCGTGCTGAAGAGCTGACAAATTATATTACATAGACAAAATGGTAAACTAACTCATAAGACAAGCAAATATACAGATTTATAAAAATAATTACATTTAAATAAGAACCGGACATACAGCAACAGATTACCAACTCCTTGCCAATGTACAACTAGATAGGCAATAGACAATAGGTTTTGCTGGATGATAAATTGCCCCAGAAGTTATTGTCATACACAGCTAATAGAATGGCTATAGCATAGTAATGAGAAAACACTTTCTCAAAGATCAAACTTTAAAAACCCATCTGGGAAGAAAAAAGCTGCTGAGTGGAAGACAGGAGGGAAGAATCCTCTTCATTCGCAAACTTTAAATTCTAATGAACATTTAACACTGGACCTGGAAAACATCTAAAATAAACAAACTACAAAATAAAAGGAATTACGAAGTCTCTGGTCTCAACTAAACTTATACTTAAACTTATTGTTTAAAGAATAATTTTGTTTACAAAGCACCAGACTTTATTCATCCAGTTTCGAAACGGAAACAAATCATGCTAAAGGATATTGAGGATCGGAAGGCGACAACAGGACGGGTGCAGGTTCCAGGTCAAACTCTTTAACGACTCAAGAATAAAATCACTTTTCAAATACTCACTTTCAAATGAAACTTAAATAAACATTGGAACAGTTCTTTACAGATTAACAAACCTTTGACGAGTTGGGCGGATCCGCCAGGCACCTTGTAGCAATTCCTCAGCTTCAGTGAAGGGAATCCTCAGCTTGATTGAAGTAAATCCATAATCGATCATCTGTTAGCTCCAGTGGCCATTATATCTCGTCAGGTGTTTCAGGGACGCCAGCAAGCCGCCGAGAGGCCCTGGTCGGGTCTCTCCTTGTGTGCTGCTCAGTTAAAACACACACAAAAAAATGCTTCACTGACGCCATTGGTGGAAAAAAGACAACTTAGAATAAGGTTTTCGAAAAATAACTTACCGAATAACCAATGCAGCGACTTCAAATATGGCGCTCCCGCGGCCTGCTGACGTCACTGCGGCCTGCTAGTAGGTCAAGTTCAAGGCGCCTAGAGGCCTCAATGAACAATGACACGATTTCAACCGGATTCACGAAAGTTTCAATCATACAGCTGGGCTTCCCCTCGGATTCCGCGTCGTGGCAGATCAGAAAATATCGCCTTTAAAGGTCCCAAAGTTAATGAATATCAGACGGACAGCTTCGTGTCTCCATGCGGCCTGGCGATAGCCGCGTCTTTTTTAAAAACGCTCATGGAGAAGCTGCGTCATGCTTATATACGGCATGACGCATGCGCGTCACTCTCATTAATACAAATGGCGCCATTCGCCACTGTTGACATTTTCCAGTCCAAACAGAGAAAAACTGAAACTGTAAAACCTGCCGAGCTGCAAAGAAACAGTCCGAATCTAAACTTCTAATAAAACTCATATTAATAGCACTATATGATTTATTCATAATCTATCTCTTAATATATTTTTAGAATAATTTAGAGAAAAAGCAAAATTTTATATTTATTTTTTATGATGTTTGACTTAATATTTTTTTTCGTTTGTTTTCAAAATGTAAAATTTTCTAAGAACAAACCAATACAGTTTTACAAACAAAAAATATACATATATTAGTTTGTAACCCTAGAACTATATGAGGGATAAACTTAATACCAAACTGCTGCTCCAGTATGTCCTGACTGATGGAGAGTGAAGTGTCAAATGACAAATAACTTATGTAATAAAAAATCCTAAAACAGCTCAATATTTCTATCTCTCTTTTTAGAGAGTGAAACTCATGTATTATTATATTGTTGCATCACACATAGAATAAACTATTTCAAGCCTCTATTTGTTTTACTTATGATGATTTTATTGCTAACATAGAATGAAAATCAATCAAATCAAATAAAAATACATTATAAATTCCAAAGAGAAATTAAATGTTGCAACTCATATAAGATCTTGTAGCAAAAATTTTATGTCAAGTTAAGCGTGATCAAAGTTGGACTTCCACAATATATTAAAAAAAGTACACGATGACGCTCAGATAATTTAAAATTAATGTTTAATAATAATAAAAAAAATCTGACTTTCATCAGACCCACAAAGTCCTTCACATTGAACGCAATGTAAAGGATCATGTGTTTGTCCCAAGATGTGGCCTGATCTAGCTTTTCACCCCTTTTCAAAGCTAGATCAGGCCACATCTTGGGACAAACACATGATCAATATCAATAGGACATCTGATAGAATAATCAATATTCACTAAACACTGATCCAGAACAGCACAGCATTCTGGTAGATGTAGGCAGAGGAAAAGCGTCAGCCGCTCAACCTCATAGCTAGCTAAGCTCAGGTTGGTGGCATCAACTAACTCACTCGCTCTTTGGTTACCCAGCAACGACCTGATGAGTAAATCGCACAGCAGCAGTTTAAGTTTTTGCCTTCATGCTTCATAACTGCTCAAAAATAAAAAACAATAGGGAGGAGTGAAAACTGGATAAAACAGGAAAGGTCACACTATCAGTTTGGCAGCTTTTCAGATTATTAAAACAAAAAAAAAAACTAGTTAATAAGTATTGATATTGACTGATATGACATGAGTCTATTGTCGTAAGTTCACTGTACTGAGTATGGTTCTCTTTCAGCAAATTACAATAATCAATATTACAATATCACAATACAATACAATGAAATCATGACAATTATTCCGATTAATTGTTTCAGCCCTGAATTGATCAGCAACCTGAATAATAACTCATCTTAAAGAAAAGACTTAAAGATGCAGGAAAAGCTCCACAGTTTTTCCACAGTTTGTCATTTTTAAAACACTTCACTGCCTTACAGTCACAAATAAAGGCATGAATACACACACTGGAAACTATGTTAGCGCTACTGCAGAAACTAGCATCCTTATCTACACTCTTTGGGATTCAGCCAATCAGCATCAAGGAAAATTAGTGGCACTCCTGGATTGGCTGCTTTGCAAACAGCACTCAATAGTGTATCAGCCAGCATCCACAGCTTCCCAAGATTTTTTATTTTCTTTTGGAATATTTTAGACATGCTCTTCAAAAAAATGTGTAAATAGCTGAATTTTCCTCAAGGAGTCCTAGAAACATTTGTGAATAGGGAATTCTGACCACAAATATACAAGGGTCCACTGCATTAAATAAGATTTTTACAGTTAAAAATGTATAAATTACATATAAGCGAAACTCTAAGACTTGCTGCAACAACAAACAAAAAAAGCGAAAACATTCAGAGTTGACAAAGATGCGTTTAAAATATTGTTAGGTCCAATTTTCTCCTGGTCTTTCAAGCCGGCGTACGAGAAGGAGGAAGTTTGGCCTCAAAGGAGCCCATGGTGTTGAGCGTTGCATGGATGCGGAAGTGCAGCCTGGACTCCATGCTGTAGTCTCTGTAGTTCATCCTGCAAATAAAATCACCTGTTAGCCGTTTGGTGCAACTATGGGAGTGTTCTAAAAAAAAAAAAGAGAGAACATTTCCGAGTTTAAAAAGGCAAAACTTTTCTAGGAGAAACTCTGAAATTTTTAAATTATTATTAGAAATTTGCTAGTAAAAGCATGGAATTTGTTAGCCTCAAAAATTACCCAGTCAGAAATGGGAATTTTTCTGAGTAAAAAGTTTAACATTTTCTAGAAAAGACCAAAATCTTGAGATAAATCTAAGAAATTTTCTGGAAAAAAACTGAAATTTCTGAATTTTGAAAGTCAAACAATTTGACAATTTTGTTTTTTTTCCAATAATTTGTCAAAAAATTTCAGTGTTTTGAGTGCTTTTTTTTTTTTAATCTACATCGGCCGTCACAGGAATGTAATTAGAGATTGTCCGACAAAACTGATTTTATGTTAGATTGGCCTGCCATATCCATTGTTCAGACTGAGTGTATAAGCCTCTGTGAGAGGTTCTTACATGAAACGTTGGGTCAGTTTATTTGAAAGAAACATTTGAAAACACGTACTTTGCATTTTCAATAACTGTGATGGCCGTATTAAAGTCCCCTTTCAGCTTGTGCAGTAAACCCAGCTCATACATGGTAAATGGCACCAGGTAGGTGTCATGCTTGATGTCCTTTTCACTGCAGTAAACATAAAGAAACAACAACAGGAATAGTTATTGGCAGCAGAAGAAGAACACATTTCATATGGCATGACTAGCAGATGTGACCTTATTGTAATCTTTTCCATAACAATTGTCACTCTTGTCTATCATGGGCAAAATTGGCACTACTACTATACACAATATGAGATTTTCTTTTGAACATTTCTTTGGAGAAACAAGCCTAAATTTTATTCACAATGGTATTAAAAATTATTCATTGTTGAGTTGATGAAACCTGCAGAAAACGTCTATTATCTACAACTTTCTGCTCCTAACTGCTCTGACTTTATGTTGCAGTGAAACCATGAAAATCTGAGCTGAACATGTTTAGTATTCATCTTGTTTTTGTTGTCGTTGTGTTTTCTAGGTTTTTTGAACATCATGAATTACAAATAACATGAAGAACTTACATAATAAATAATAAATGTTGTAGACCAACCCATCCAGCAACATCACAATTTAGATTTTTTCCTATTTATAAGTATTGTAGTAATATACCTTTATTCTACTCAGATTCATGATGAATGTAAACATTCTGGTAAAAATAAAATAGTATTTAGTGCAGAAAATTTCTCTATATTTAAGATTTTGAATTTTTTAATGTTTGGACACTGAAACGTAAAAACGTCTTTTTGTGTTTCTAATTTTACAAGCTTTGAATTTTCATTTTCCTCTGAATTATAAAATCCTTCAACTTTCAATATTATCTAGTATCTGTTTATACTGGGCTTTAAATAAAATGATTTAAGTTAACCAGAATAATATATGCTAATGCTAACACAATGCAGCCAGTCATGTTGCCATAAACTCACCTGGAGATGACAAAGTTGAAGCAGATCTCCGCCTGAACCAGCCGCCCCAGCTGCGTCAGACACAAACCCTTCAGCATCTGGACCACACACACGTCGTCCGTGTGAAACTCTGCCGGACCTGCACATCACACAGGCTTTCAGTTTCACCCCAACGTTTGGGGTGAAAATGGGGACATGGGGGAGATCAGAATCAAAATTCTGATTATTTTTCCCAGAATTTTGATTTTTCTCTCAGAATTTTGACTTTGTCTACAACTAAACATGAAAATCAGGGAACTTGAATTGCTTGATTTTATTTTATTCTTTTGACCTGCAAGAACTTTTGACTTTTCAAGAAGAAGTTTGGATAATCCTGCCCTGAACATTTATCGGTTTTTGTTTCTCTCACCTGGATCGTTCCTCAGCTGCTCTTCTGCCGCCTCCAGAGTCAGTAAGATGCGTTCGGTTAACTCCGGTCGCTTGCCGACTACCGTGAAGCCGTTCCATACGTACATCATTTCCTGTAAGGAAGGATGTTGTGATAAACCAAACAGACTTACAGTTTTTACTGGATGGCTCAGAACGGGTTCTCACTAAAGCAGGAACCACGAGCTTCAGGGGCTTCGGCGACACGTATCTCTGGGCCTTCTTGGCAGCAAACTTCTCTGTTGGAATCGATTTTCCAGCTATTCTTAATCTGAGGCCATCCACCTGCCTGCAAACCGACGCTCAATTAGCCGAGCAAAAAAACACAAAATCTGACCATTTTTGTCTTATTTCTAGTGGAAATATCTTATTAGAGGAAACAGCAGAAAATGCCAGGGAGTTTGAAAAGAAACATCAACATTTAGAAGGTTTTTTTATTTCTCATCTGAGTTTACAGCTATGACTTTATTACCAGATGACACAATTTTACAACACAATCCCCTCTTTTAATTATAAGAAAATAATTAATATTAAATTAATCTCATCTAATCTTATTTTATTCTCATGGTTCTTATGGCTTTTTGCAGCTGGTTGATGAATTTTATAACAGCCTATAAAAAAAAGCATCAGAAATGGCACTTAAGTAAATTATTTAAACTATTTTTTATATTTGACAAAGCTTAAATAACGGAAAACAACAGTTGTGATGAAAAATCTAATATAAAATAATTAATGGGCTTGAAGTTTTTTTATTTTGGAGGTTTTTTTCCTCATCTTCTCCAACTTTCTGAGGCTCTCACTTTGAAAAATTTTCCCTTATTTCATGCAAAATAAACTTACTGGTAACTTTGATAAATGAGCTTTAAGTAATTAATTTTTGAATACTGAAACTACTGGTTGCACTAAGATATTTTTTAATTTATAACGGCAATTTTCCTTGTAAAAGAAATAATCTGCCATCAAACATTTTTCACTAGTTTTTTAAAGCTCGAACATCTTGGTGAAAAGCTACTTTTAAGATATTTTTCTAGTTGAACTAAGATATTTGCACCAGAAACTAGACAAAAACACAAATTTTTAGCATTTAGCTGCACTGTTTTTGCAGTGCAGCTAAATGCTAAGATATCTTTTCTTTCTTTGCTCACCTGAATAGCGCCACGACGTTTTCTCCCGTCTTGGCAACTTCCTCCTCCGGCAGCATGCTTAAGATGGCGGCTTTCTGAAATACATATGTGGCCTACGAGAAAACAGCAACTTTAAAATGAGCAAAGTCAAAGAAAATGTGAAGCAAAATGTCGGGATTAATGGTCATTTTGCATGAATTGCATTTGGTGGATTTGAGTTTTCAGACTAGTTTAGTCTGACGGAGCATAAATCAGAAAAACAATTTGGATTCTGACTTTAATCTCAGACAAGTCTTTAATCTCAGACTTGTGAGATTAAAGTCAGATTTCTGAGAAAACTTTGGAATTCTGATGGAAAAAAAGTCAAAATTTTTGTGGAAAAAATCTCAATTCTATGGAAGAGAATTAGGGCCACTGGGGGACAAAAAGCAGTTCTGACTTTAATCTCAGAATTCTGATTTTTTTAGTGCATTTCTTCTGTCCAAACTCCAGTCCAGTTGGTGGCAGTAATGTACTCTTAAAGTTTTCTGCCAACTGCCAAAGACGTCCAGAAGAAGAAGAACTAGACTCAGAAGAGAACGCAGGTACCTGTGACCACTTGTTCTCCTTGCAGAGGCGGTCGGCGTATCGATACGCTTCGGTCCAGTTCTGCTCGAAGGAGTACGACCACATCAGCTCCCAGTAGCAGAGGTGGTGGATCTGACGCCATTCCTCCTGAGTCGCTATGCAGGCCAGAAATTTCTCTTGAGCCTGCAGAGAAAACTCTCTGAAAACTGGCCTTCATTTAAACTCTCTGGAAACTGGCCTTCATTTAAACTCTCTGAAAACTGGCCTTCATTTAAACTTTCTGAAAACTGGCCTTCATTTAAACTCTCTGAAAACTGGCCTTCATTTACAGTCAGACAATAAACACTCACAAATGTGAAGTTTCCTTTCAGCACAGCGATCCTGGCCATGAAGAAGAGCATCAGGGCTCCCTGTGGGGAAAACACCTCAGATTCAATCCAGAGAAAAACATTTTACAGCAAGAGGAACAAGGAAAGTTTCCATTTCTCTCAATGCTACTGGTAGTATAATAGGGGCCAAAAAAAATTTGATTCACGTAAAAATTATGATTCCACAGCGGCTTTCACTGTAAATAGAAAAAAAAAACAGAACATTTTTGCCAATAAACTTACATTTTCCAGAAAAACTTGGGGATTTCTGAGGCCATAAAGTCAAAAATTTCCCAGAAATAAACTCTAAATTAATCTAAAAATTTTAGGTTAATTTCAGAAATTTTCTAGAAAAAAATTCAGAGCTGCAAAAGTCAAACATTTTTTGACTTCTGGAGCTGTGAAAATGTAAAAGTATTTTCTAGTATCAATTCCACAATTTTCTGAGATTTTCTTCTTGCAAATTTTCACCTTTTGGAATCTGTAGCTCCTTAATGTTGATGAAAAAGTTCCAGTTCCACTGACAGAGTATTTCACTGATAACATGGGAAAATCATCTTGTTGTAAGTTAAATGATCTGCCAGTAAATATTGAACATTTCAATATCAATATTAAGGACTTATTGATTTCAAACAAACTCCGAGGTCTTGCTCTAAAGTTACTTTAAATTTAGCTCTGTCTTATTTGATGTGTACTAAGATATTTGCATCAGAAACAAAACCAAATTACTTGGCAAGATTTTTTGTTTTTGCAGGTTTTGTTTTTGCAGTGAATGCATTGAGTTTTGGGGTGAACTTTTCTCATAATAAAGGAGCAGAAATGGAAACCTTTGTCCATTTGGTTGAGCGTTTCTTACGTTGGGATACTTGTCGGTGTACGGTTTGAGCAGAGCTTCAGCCTCCGCGAGGTTTCCTTCACCGGTACCTGAAGGAGCGTTAAAGTCACTTCCAGGCTCCAGTAATCTGACGTTCTGCTTCGCATGAGGAAAGTTTTCTCACCCAGAATGACGCTCATGTAGAGGTGGAACATGAGGAGAGTCAAGGTGCTGAGGATGGAGCGCAGGCTGTTACTGGCTGCCCCCTCTCTCAGCTGAGACAAGCCAAACTCCTGCAAGGCGGATTTTAGAAACTTATTAAAAAACATTGGTAATGCGGTAATAGTGGCATCGCAAAGCGAGCAGACAGAGTGCCGCCTCCTACCCTGTCTCCAGAAAATCCCAGAAACTCCATGAGTCTGAGGACTCTGGATGGAAGCATGGACAGGATCTGAAAAAACAAGTCAAACATGGTGGTTACTCTGGATTCACTGAGACAAATATGGTATGTCCAGATAAGTAGAGAGTATAGAGTAATCTAAAGTAGTGAATTAAATAGTTTTTAACTTGTTACCAGATTAAATGATCCGATGCCCATGTTGACTCCACCTCGGAAATGAATATGTGTGCTCCTCTCCTTTTCTCCATCTTCTATTGCGTTTTCCATAGCCTGGCAGTTCCTAGTTGAAAAACATGATGTCTTAATACCAACATAATGTAACTAAAATTATAAAGTTTTCAGGCTGCATCGATAAATAGACCCCAATGTTGCCGACTTAGCGACTTTGTTGCTATAGTCAACAACTTCACAAACAAACCAAAATTGGTAACATGTAGACTTTTTGATAAACAGCCAGAAAACTGCAATCAGTTCACTGCTAATTTTGTGTTTATCTTACTTGTAAATGAGATAACTGTTCCTCATTCCCATCCCTCCTTTGATGAAGCTGATGATGCTTTCATCCAGGAACGTCAGCGCCGCCTTCTGCATCAGGACCTCGGCGTAGCACAGCTCAGCGTGCATCTCCTCTGTGAAAAAACTAAATGTTAACCACATTTACAGTTAAACTGGTGCATGTTCTGCTACATACCAGCAGAAATAAAACGACATTTAGCTGAAATATCAATAAGTTTCTCTCAGAGATCAATGCAAGACTCACCTTCTGTCAGATTATCAACAGGCTGCCCATGCCAAAAGCTGGCTAAGCTCTCCATTATTCCAGTTTTCCTCTGAAATCTAAGTTGGGAAACAAAACTGGGTTGTAAAACATCAGAAATACGACAGAAATGTTCAAAACTGCAACTCAAACAGTTTATTTATGGCATAAATGTGTCTTTCAACTTAAACTATGAGATATTTAAATTTTATCCCTTTTTAAAACTGCCTCTGTAGTTTAAGCTGCTTCATTAGTTGTTCAGCTGATTAATGAACTTATTTTGTTGTAGAATAAGTGAAAGTGGATTTAATGTTGTGTGCTCTACATAAAAGGTTTTGAGTGATAAAGTCGTATTAATAACATTCAGTTGTATTTAATTTTCTTTCAGTTTATGTAATGTTAATAAAGAGAATCCATAATCACACATCAAGCCTATAAATACGTGTAACTTTTTCTCCAAAGTGACAAAAACACAATGAACTCAGGCAAACAATGAAATTAAATGATTTATAATATCATGTGTGAATGTTTTGTTTTTTGTTGTTCGTTCACATTAATTTATGCGCTCACATCAGTTTTTGTGTCACATCAGTTTTACTCCACACTCAGATCAGTGACACAAAAACCATAAAAATGAACTTTATGAGCAAAACCACATGAAAAGTGAGGACAAAAAATTACATAAACACATCCATAAATAAAATATACTGATGTGTTTTTCAAGCTTTACCTCTGGCAGGTGTGCAGAGCTTCCTTCAGTGACTCCATGGCAACATCCATGTCCTTGGGGTCAAAGGTCATAGCAGCCTGCATCAGTAAGATGCTGCTGTAGCCCATAGCGTGATACATATTGTGGCTCTTTCTGGAGGACACAAACACTTCAGTAAAATAGGATCAACAAAAGTAAAACGTGTAAAAAATGAAAGTAAGTTTACATTTTTGCTTCTTTTGTTTTTTGTTTGTTGTCACAAAGGAAATCAATTTGTTCTTTTAATTGATTTAGTTTTTCAGTCTATATAAAAAATCAGGGATTATGTCATATGACTGTAGATTTAAAAATTGCATTAAATAGCATTTAAAGAGGCGAGCCAGTCTGACTAATAATGATTCTGAGACTAAAGTCAGATTATTTTTGGTGTATTTAATCCTCCCTTTTCCTAAACGTTGCTGCTGAGATGTTGTTTCCAGGACAACTCAAAGATTTCCCGACCTGAAAACAGGATTTCTGATTCTGAGAACGCCCGTTTTACTCAAAGATCCTGCAGGTGTTGGTGAACAGAGACGTACCGCGGCTCCAGTGAACTCAAAGCGTCTGCAAAGCGGTTGTTCAGAAACAGATGCAGGGCGACGTTGCATTCCTCCAGGGCCGTCTCCAAGTCCAGCTCAACGGGGCTGAAAAACAGAGAAAATCAAACATTTCCAGAAAGACATTCTTCACAAACCCTCACATCTTCCATCCTCCTCCTTCCCTCTCAATTCTTTATTCACTCAGAATTCTTTTTATTTAATTCTTTTTTTTCAGAATTTTGATTTTTTTAATCAGAATTTTGACTTTCATAACTGAATTCCGATGTATAATTTTTAAATTCCCACTAATTTCCTCATTTTTATGTCTTGTTTATATGAGCCAGCTGACTTTATTAGTCGAATGTTCATGGTATGATCTTGTGTCTTTGTCAGAGGGAAATTTGTGTTAATGAAGACGCTGAAGGTTTTTTCACAGATTCTCCTTCAGAGCAAAGGTCCAGATAATCTCACCTTCTTATCCTTATGATTCGTTTCCCTTAATTTGGTTCCTATGAAGCCGTTATTTAGTCACAGCTTTTACTCCAAAGCTAAACTTTCATACTTTGCTGAAAGTTTTGGATTTATCAAATCACTGAAAAAGCAGCAAAAGACCAAATAAAAACTCAAAAAGCTTCAGGAAGCATAAAAAATGGGTTATAGAGAACACTTTAGAGAATATATTAACATTAAATCCTTAATTAGTTGATATATTTGATTAAAAATAAAAACATGAAGAACATTTGGAGAGATTGAACTCAACTTACGTCTCATCTTCATTTATATGATCCACATCCATCTAAAATCCCAGAAAAACACAAAATTAGGAGATTTAGTCTGAACTATCAAAGTGTGGCATTTAAATGGTGCAAAGTTTTTTTCTATTATGGTTTACTAAGGTCCTTTAGAGATTAAGCTCAGAAAAACAAGGACAATTCTGAGCTCCAAAAGTAAAATGTCTATAAGTCATGACTTTTCTAGAAACAGTTTGAAAATTCAGAAATTTGTGAGAAAAAACTGAGAAATGTTTAGATCAACCTGAAAAAGTCAATAGAAAACACATTAAAATTTATGAACTCCAAAAATAAAAAAAGTTAAAACTTTGAAATTTCTGAGTTTTAAAATTCAAAACTTTGCAAATTAACAACAGAATTTCAGATATTTACTAGAAAAAAACGTAGAAATCTATAAGTTAATTTTTACTAAATAAAAATGTCCAAGTTTTTCTACAAATTTAATAGAGATTAGATTACTTAGATTACTAAAAAAAAGCTCTGAGTAGAAATTCACTCTTGCTTGTTCTATTTATTTCTACAATGGCCCTAAAAAACTCTTCATGCAGATAATGAAACACAAATTAAATTTTTCTCCCCTGATACTTGGATATTAAAGATTAAAGATCCGTGTGAATAATCCAAATTATTAATATCTCCATTATATGAAGCAGTATAAATTACTTCTAGCTGCATTTTTGGCAAAAATGCCTACAATAGAATTAAAGAAACAACATTTGCTGTAACTAGAAGTAGAAATAATTCTCTATATTTTTAAAGGAATTTGACAAAAACAATGCAAATCCAAACATTAATATTGAATTTGTTCAGAAATAAAAACTCACCTCCTTGACAGCAACATTGTTCATCTCCATTTTATCTGAGGAACGAATGAAAAGACGAACGTCTTCCCCGGTCAACACGAACAAAAACAGTTTGAGTCGAGCTTCTTATGGTGATCTGGGAAGCTGGGCGGCTCCTGGCCAACAGGCTCAGCCCACTGAGCAAAGTGAAGGTTGGAAAGCAGATTGAAGAGATCTAAGACATAAAATGTGAATGGAACATCGTCAATACAGGGTGTGAATGATGAAGGCTTTCCTCTCTAGCTTAAGGGAAAAAAGCTTTTAAAGAATACCGACTATTGAGAAGTGAGTAAAAAATATTCAGTGACTTTTAAAAGGGGAAACCATGCGTAAAATTACCCAAAATGAATGATTGTGACAGAAGGCCGGCTGACATAACCTGGAGGACCGTCCTCACCGCAGGAACGCAAAATGTTTCCAAGAATTTCTGTCTAGTTTCCAGTTCAAATATATTAGTTCACTTGAAATAAGACAAAACTAACTTACAAGTAACTTCAGTGAGAAACAAGAATTAGCTCTAAATCAATAATTCCTACCAGTTCCATTGGCAGATTATTTCATGTACAAGACAATTTTCCCACGTTGTCAGCAAAATAATCTGTGACTTCTTCATCAATATTAATGAATAGTTTACTTAAAACAAGCCTCTATTTCTTTTTGAAAAGTTACTTTTAGGTTAGTTTTGTCTTATTTCAAGTGAACTAAGATATTTGCATTAAAACTAGACCAAAATTACTGGATAATATTCTGTTTTTTTGCAGTGTGAAGCACTAAAACATGCACAATCTGAGGTAGAACACTGCAAAAACACAAAATCTTACCAAGCATTTCTCTTTTAGTTTCCAGTTCAAATATCTTAATACATTTGAAAAAAAACAAAACTAACTTAAATATGAGCTTGTTTGAAGTCAATTATTTCTTAATATTGATGATATGGTTTGGTTAAAAGTGACATAATCTGTCAATGGAACTGGTGTCTTTTCATTAATTGACTTAAAACAAACTAGTTTTTGATGAAAAGCAAACTGAGCTGCTGTAAAGCTCCAGCTAACGTTAGCTTGTGTGTGTTTTTTAACATAATAGAAATTATCTAGTCAGCACAAAGCTTCATTTATTATCGATAGAAACTAGAGATTCAAACCAAAATCTGGGTATAGTGATGAACTCTGACCTGAACGTTCAGAGTCACATAAAGATGGTTACAAAGTCGGCCTTCTGTCACCTGGAGAACATTTACAGGGTTACAGGACGAGTGTCTCAGCAGGATCTTGAGAAACTCATCCATGCATTTAACTTTAGTCACATTGATTGGCTCCCTGTAGGTCAGAGACTTTAAAATACTCAGTTTGTAAATCACTGAACAGCTTAGCACCAAAACACATTAAAGATTTGCTGTTTGACTTGACAAATTAAAAGAAATAGAAGATGGAAACCCCAGGAGGAAAAAGATCTCACCCTGAAAAACTGTGTTCTTAAGGAACCAAGCCCTGAATGTTACCCATGTAACCGTAACAGAAGGTTTGTGCCGCCAGAATATCTGACTGTCTGCTGGCATGTGATGCATCAGCCTAAACAATTATTTCCAGTGGTTTTGTCATTCATTCTGCCGCGGTGCCCTTTGCACTTTCTCTGACGTAACCTGCTGGAGTTTTCTAACCAAAAAACCCCAGGAAGAAAAGTTTGTGACTGGTTTTAAATGTCTTTATCCGTCCTGCTGCGTCATCTTGATGCTCAATCAGCATCTGCTGGAAGGTGGTTAAATTTAAAAGACCAGAATTAGACCATTCAGCGATAACAGAGTCAGATATTAGTTGGATGCATAGAAAATATTTTATTTTGGTCGGATTTGCTTCTTTGTTATGCTAATCTAGGCTAACTAGAATTAGTATAATGGACCTTTGATATTCACAATAATTAGGAACTGCAAGACAAATAACCAATCAGAGTCAAGGAAATGAATGATGATCCTGGATTGGGTGCTTTCTAAACAACAGCTAACCAATGGCATGTCAGTTAGCATCACTGGTGAGTATTTCAGCTTCCAAAGCTGCACTTTCTTTTAAATGTTTGAGATATGCTTCAAAAACAAAAAAATCTGTGATCAGGATAATTTTCCTAGAATAATTTGGAGCTACATTCTCCAGAAAAATTCACAAATAGGCGATTTTATGAATATTGAATCAATATAAATAAATATGGAGAACTTAAATGACAATGAAGTTCTCCATATTGTGTATATTCAAATTGAACCATGTTTCCTGATATGTCCAACTGGGTTGATGAGATACAGTTGGAAGTGCAAATAATGTAATCTAAAAATTGCTGTGCTAAACGTTAGGCAGCCATATTGGATCTTGAGGTCCAGGTTGTTGAAGAATCTAGAAAACAAATATAGGCTACATATTGGTTGATTTTTTGCTAAAAGATGATTTGGGGGGAAAAATCACAGTTTTTCCAAAAACTGATCAAACTTTGGAATAATGCGAAAGTCAAAGTAAATTTACGCTGAAAGGGGCCTCGGAAAATGGCGGGCTTTATCCGGGTTAACTGCTTCTTCATTTGATGCAGTTTTATTGATTGATCGATTTTACGTTACTGCCCCCTGGTGGTCAAGAGAGTTGCGTTCACTCAAATTTTAATTTAATTAAAAAAACACTTTATTGATCCTAAGCCGAATAATTTCATTAGATTAACATGTGACATTCTGTGTTCACCAGAATTAATCGATCCACCACAACAAACACATTTCTGTGTGGTAATTGTGCCTTTAGGAAGGCGATGATCTGAAAACCGCACAGAACCATGGAACTACATTACCCACAAGCCTTTGCGCGGGTCAGCGTTAAAAGCCCGGGGACGGATTTGTTTTCGTTGCTGAAAACATGGCGGCGTCCGAGCAGCAGGCAGAACCGAGCAGCAGCAGCAGCGTCCCAGATTATGAGTTCATGAACTTAAACTCCTCACCTTTTCACATCGGCTCCTTCCGGGACGAGTGGCTGAAGCGACTGAAGCCGGAAGACTTTTCCTTCCGGCCGGGAGACCAGGACGCGTTTGAGGCTCGGTTCGCTGCGGCGATGGGGGTCGGAGAGGAAACCATGGCCGAACTCAGATCCGTCTGCAGGTCGGTGGCACCAGCGGGTCCGAACCACAGGCGATTTCGAACACAGATGGGTCCGAACCCCCGGCGGGTCCGAACCCCCGGCGGGTCCGAACCCAGACGGGTCCGAACCGGAGACGGTTCCCACCCAAGATTGTGGTACCAAAGGTCCAATCTCAGCTTTAATTTAGCTTTTGTAATTTCACGTCGCTTACATTGGACCAAATTCGCTCTTTCAATAATTAGAACATCTCAGCGTAAATAAACATATTTTTCATCCAGCTGCTGTTCACAGACTGCTGTGTTCCATCCTCTCAGTGGAAAGTTGAGTGGAAGGAAAAAGGCCTGTCCACAGCTGGGTTTACAAATAAAAAATAAATCTTAAATTACGTAGCCACAAGCTAATCGCCTCCATCATTGATCCAGTAATTCAAGCTAAAAGTCTTAATTTTTTTTTTTGATTTATGCTACCATTAACATTTTGTCAAAAGCCAAATTAAAATTAGTTTTTTTATTTGCTGTAAATGATCAGAAATAAAAAAGTGACATATTTCAGCAAATTCAAAGGTTTAAAATTCCTGTTTTCTGGTTGCAGCGTCGACTCGCTTCTTTGCCATTCTGGCGATCAGGAGCCCGACCCGGAAGTCGTCCCTCCGAACGCGACACTGAAGACTCTGACGTAAGACCGGTTCCCATTTATTCAAGTCCAGTTACTGTGTGGGTCCCCCAGCAGGATGACTCTGCCTGTTTCTTCTGACAGACACAGAAAAAAGCAGAACAACAAACCTCAGAAACGAACCAGAAACAGACACGACCTCTACGCAGATGAACTGGTGGGTGAACTGAAGGATTCATCAATAACACAGAACCTTAAATACATGGAAGAACTTAACTTCTCACTGTCTGGTGTTAAATCAGACCAAAATCCTTTTGTTTTAGGTCAGTATAAATAATCTAAATTACTTTGATTTGCTAGAAGTCAAAATTGAGAGAAAATATGTCAGAGATGAATTTATTAATATATTCCAAATCAGAACTTTCCCAACAGGAACAATGAAAGTTAATTGTTTGTTTCCTCTGAACGATTTGCAGGACCGCCTGACTGCTGGGAGGCTCCCAGAGACCGAGGCGAACCGGCTCCCTGAAGGCGAACTCATTCTCACCATCAATATCTACTTCCCTAGTACTGTGGAGAAAGTGAGCATTTATCTGGTTATCTCTGAATGGTTCTTCTGTGGGGCTGACATTTCCCTTCTACGGCGGCCCAGAAGGGCCAACAAACCCCAAAAGCCACAATGAAAACCACATCAGAAGTAATGGTAAAATAAAAGTTATGCTGCCAAGTTTTTCATGAATTCAATTTCAAGCCAAGAGAAATTTTGCTTATAAAGGATTTATGCTAAAGCAGAAGTTATGCTGAAGGAGATCGATGGAAGTTCTCAGATTCTGCTTTATAATAAAACTTAAACTAAAATTTATGCTAATACAGAAGCTATGCTAGCACGATGAACATGAATTCTGCTGTAGCATAAAACAGAATTATGGTGAAATGGATTAACGATGCTACGGCGGTTATGCTAGCAATTTCATCCTAAAGTTTTCGCATCCGTTTTAGCATAACTTGCACTGTGGCTTTTGCTTTTGTGTACCTTGTGGGCCACCGTCCTCCCAAACCTTCCCCAGTTTAACCACCTCAGAGCCCACACCACCATGCTGATGACCGGCTCCCACACGCTGGCCGACCTCCGGGACGCCGTCTGCTGCGTCAGCGACCTGCAGGTGTGCGGCGAGTTCAGCAGCACGCCGGACATGGCGCCGGACTTCATGAGCAAAGTGAGCAGCTCAACATTCACTGCGACTGGACGGTCCAGTCGACTGGCCACCTAACCGTCGTGTTTTAATGCTTCTTGTTTCAGGATCTTTTCAAATCGGCCTTCTTTTTCTTCGAAGGAGTTTTCTACAATGACATGCGCTATCCAGAGTGCCAGGACATCAGCAGGTCCGTTTCCGGCATTTCTGACACAAACCACAGATCCTCTGGGTCATGTATGTCTTTTTCATTCTGAATTTTAATTATTTATCTGTTGTCTTGACAGGGAAAGTTAAAAAATGAGACTTTAATTCATTTTTAATAAATAATCCCACTTATTGTGGTGTTTTCTAATGTTCCTGGATCCGACCATTTACCTTCTCCTGCTTTTTCATTGTTTTGAGTTTTTTTCATCATTTTTTCATTGATTCTTGTCTTTTACTGGGAATCCAGTACGACCATCGACTGGGCCAAATCCCACAACTTCCCGCCGTTCAGCACGGCCAAGATGGAGGACACACGGTTCGTGGACCTGAAGGTGAAGGTGGGGTTTCCGTACCTCTACTGTCACCAAGGCGACTGCGAACACCTCGTCATCATCACCGACGTCAGGTCAGCGGCTTGTCGTAAAATCACTCTAGTAATTTTATTTGTGCAAAGGGAAGTAAGTATTTCTAAAATCTGATCAGTTGCATAAGCAGAGCAGCCGCGCGAAAAAGCTGCGGCGTCACGAATGTGAAATTAATTTCCTTTTTTATTTTTCCGGCTGCAGACTGGCGCACCGCAGCGACTGCCTGGACATGGACCTTTACCCGCTGCTCACCCATAAGAACCGCTTGGTGACCCAAAAATGTTCCGTCTGCCACGTCTTCATCGGCCGGTCCGTAAACATAAGCGCTCGCATCCTGAGCGTCGTCTTTGACCTCTGACCTCTGGTGTGTTTGGGTTTTTGTAGATGGTACACCACCAGGGACCAGTTTGCGCCCAGCGATCCGTGTCTGTTCTGCGATAAATGTTTCCGGATGCTGCATTACGACAAGGAGGGGAACAAACTGGGAGACTTCCTGGCGTTTCCGTACGTGGACCCAGGCGCCTTCAACTGATTTACGCTTCATAATGAAGACAAACATGGATTTATTTTCCTGTTTTTGAATAAGACTTTACTTTTTACTGCTGTATTTTGACTTCTACTGGTTACTGGGAAGTCTCCAGTTTGAAATCATTAAACTTCAGTGAGTTCATTTAATGCCTTGCAGGAAGGTCTTGGGTTCCAATCCCAGTCTGGGGTTTTTCTTCAGGACACTTTTGTTTCTTACAGAAAGTTTGTGTTTTTATCTTAGAAGGAATGGAAAGTTTGACCTGTTTTGCTTTTTGCACATTGATTTACGGTGCCTTAAATATCTGTTTAGTAGTAAAAATCCATCTGTAATCTTCATTTATCTCATATGATAAATGAAGCGGTTACATGTTTTACAGCCATCTGAAGGCCATCATCCATTGTGAAATTTCATGTTTTTCCAAGTTTTACATCAAAAAGACAAAAATGTACATCATGAAAAATGATAAAAACAAACATGGCGGTTGTGCTGCAGCTACCACTTTATTACCAGGATGATGACACAAGCACAAAAATACTCTTATATACATCTAGGTTTTAAAAGACATGATGGAAAATAAAGCACTTCGTTGGCTAAAAGGAAACTTTGGCAAAGTTTTCTGTTCAACATGCGTTACACAGCATTAAAAACACGATCAGTTTACAGAATCTGTACTTCAAGTCCTGGGAGGTTCACAACTGAAATGATCGACCAAAATAAAAACAAAAACACTTCACGATGAAGACGAGGAGGAATGACCCCGCTTCTCATACACAGTCATTAAAATTCACAACTACACCGACGGGAATTAAATACATCCAACAGCAGGCGGCACAAGGTGTCTGAGTACAAAAATAAAACTATGAAGCATCTTGGTGAACTGAAACCTTGGGAGCAGCAGCACAACACTGGGAACCGGTGTCCACCAGGGGGCGTCGTTCCATTACAGCAGCGAATCTCTTCTCCGGGTCGGCGGACGGTTCAGGCCGACTCCTGAGGTTTCGGGGGACTGCAGTCGGAAATGAAGACAAAACATAAAACCGACCAAACGCAAGCAGAAGGTGGAGAAATGTGAGCAAGGCTGAAACGATTAATCGAATCAATCGTGATCAATCGATTGTTGAAATTGTCTAGTAATTTACTAATCGATTAAATGTTAATTGGAGAGTCAAAAAAGGCCTGAATAAAAACATGTTTATAGTAGCATTTAAACCAAAACCACAGAATAATAGGACTGGACAATATGGCTGAGAAACTTATCAGGATGTAAACGTTTCATATCAGTCGATATTGATAATTATTGTTTTAAATAACTGAAATGCTTCCTGTTTTATCCAGTTTTGTCTCCATGCTGTTTGTTTTATTTTTAAGCAGATATATACTAAGCAGGCTGTTGGTAGGCCACCAGAGAGTGAGTGAGTTAGTTGAAGCCGAAAGTTTTTTTAGCTCCCAGAGAAAGGTTTTTTAAAAAGTGTTTAATATAACAAAGAAAAGAGACATTTGTGATTCATAACGCTGGAAAAACAAAATCTGAAATATTTTTGGTCCATTTTCAAGTCCAAGTATCTTAACACTTGAAATAAGAAACAAAACTCACTTAGCAAGACAAATAAATAATTCATTAATATTGATGAAAATCACTAGTTCCACTGGCAGTTTATTTCCCTTATAACATGGAAAAATGTCTTTCGATAAGTGAATTTATCTGCCAGTGGAAATAGTCAATATTCATCAATATTAAAGAGTATTTAACTTAAAAAAGTTCTTCTATCTTGCTGAGATTGTTTCTTATTCCAAGTGCACCAAGACATTTGCACTAGAAAATAGACCAAAATCATTTGGTAGAATTTTGTGTTTTTGCTGTGAATAAATGTTGCTGAATTTTAATGTTTTAATTGATAATTTTTTGGATTTTATAAAAAAAAACTAAAATCTTTTATTAAAGTCTAAATTTAACCAAATATGGTCTGTATTTTTTTTCTCCTGATGTAATTGTGAGTTTGAGCCTCATAATCTGAATCTGAAGATAAAAAAACCAACATGACGTTCAGATCAGCTGTGGATCATCTGGTTGCCGTTCGCGCCGCTGCGTTCGCGCCGCTGCGTTCGCACCGCTGCGTTCGCGCCGCTGCGTTCGCGCCGCTGCGTTCGCGCCGCTGCGTTCGCGCCGCTGCGTTCGCGCCGCTGCGTTCGCACCGCTGCGTTCGCGCCATTTTCCGGCCTGGAGGACGTACCTGTGGTTTTCTCCCACCGCGGCGTCCTCCATCTTGTCCGTCTTCTTCTCCTCGGGGCTGGCGTCGCCGTTGGCCACCTTGTCTGCGGAGCAGGAAGATTGGATCAGCGATGACGTCACCACGCCGTCGGCATGTGACGGCCGGCGCGGCTCTGCGGAAGTGAGTCCAGTTAAAAAGATTCTCCATGGATTCGATTCACCCAGAGAGACAATGCGCTTCAGTAACGGAGGATCCGGGTGTTCATCAGGACGGAGGCGGCCGCAGCGTACGATAACAGCTGCTGATGATGAAGGTCGACCACAGAGATCCCATGACTGGCTCCTGATTGGCCGCCTGCTCCGCCGCCCGTAATGGATTTAATGAAGGAGAGGAATGTCTGTGATGGAAACTTGCAACCCAAAATTACAGTCGTTACCTCTTTAGATAATTTATTTCTGGTTGTTGTTCCGGTTTCAGCGTGACCGGACCGTCTCCTGAGAGTCAAACTTTTTACCTTGGAGCCAAAATTTATGTTATTTTAAGTTGCTTTAGATCAGTGCTTCTCAATTATTTTCCGTTACGCCCCCCCTAGCAAGAAGAAAACTATTCGCGCCCCCCACTCCCCACCGTGACTATCCATCTCTGCATAACAGTTTTTTCCTTATTAACATTTTTTTCGTGAAAAAACTCTAGCGGCTTATCGGCGTGATTGGGATGTAACGTATTTAAGTGACGCGCTAATTTATTTGGCTTCATGCTGTCCGCTGCGAGCATTTTTAGACACAGCAAACACAGCGGTCTTTCCTCTTCTCCAACTGTAGTCACAGTGAAGCCAAGCGCTAAATACGCTTCCTCGTATTTCCTCTTCTTAGCTTTCGGTTGACTTTCTGTTGTCTCATTATCTTTGTCTCTCTCGCTTTTCTTTTCATCCCTGTGAAAAACTTTTTCATGTTGGGGGTTGTTGAATAACGGAGGCCATAGACAGAACGCAGTCGGAGCTTTTTGTTGACTTAACACTGCTAACCAAGGCAAACCTGTTGTCTTGTAAGTCATGAAATGTTGCACTGTCGCAAACGTGACAGAAGTAACAATGAGAGCGCCACTGCCCCCCAAAGGGGGCCCGCCCCACTATTTGAGAAGCACTGCTTTAGATTTACCTGCTCAACAACAAACACACTTTTAATGAAACCCATCATCAATTATAACTATTCATTCAATGAATCATTATAAAACAAGTAATCACCAACTAGTCCATTAATCGTTAACGAGTTAAATAATCAAGTCAAAAGTAGGGCTGAAACAATTAATAGTCGTTAATTAATTGCTGTAATAATCGTCAAGTAATTTTGTAATTGATAAATTGTTAACCTGAATATACAGATTTTGAAAAGGTCATTTGATGAAAAACACTTTAATTTCATGTTTTCTATGAAAATACACAGGCCAAAACCATCGGCCTGAAGTGATTAATTGTGATCAATCGTCACAAATCACTGATTTGTCAACTAATTTAGAAATAATTAATCATTAACTGGGATATACAGATTTTTTAAAGGCCAATAGCAGAAAGAACTAAAAAACGACTGAGTTTTTAGGGAGTTTTATGAAGCCATGTTTCCTGCATGTTTTCTGCCGTTTCCTGCCATGTTTTCTGCCGTTTCCTGCCATGTTTTCTGCCGTTTCCTGCATTGTTTGCTGCCGTTTCCTGCATTGTTTGCTGCCGTTTCCTGCCATGTTTGTTTTGCCGTACCTGTGCCGCCGTCCTTGACGTGCTCGGCTCTCTTCAGTGCTCCTCTCTTGGCCTCTTCGTGCTGCCGCTGCTCGGCGAGCGACTTGTTCAGCACCTGGCTCAGCACGCAGTCGCCCTCGCCCACCAGGAACATCGTCTTGAACTTGTTGTACAGCATGGTGGCTTTGTCCATGATGTCCTGGCTGGCCTTGAACTTCCGGATCTGGAATGCAGATTAAACCACAGTTCATGACCGCCGGCACCAGGCGGAGCTGTCAGCGTCCGGGAACCGCTGTGCTTTGCTGGTTTACCTTCTTGAGCGTGGCGATGAGCTCGCTGTGCTTCTGCAGGTGCTGAGTCGTCACTTGAAGAGAACCGATCTCGTCCAATGCGTCCAAACATTTCTTCACATCCTGGAGGACAAAAACAAATAAATGCAAGTTTTAAAGTTTCAACTCATTAAGAAAAAAAACACTTTTTTATTTATAAGGAGTTCAACAACTTCAAAAATTTACGTACAGAAGAAAATAATGTCATCAATAATGTCAATCCTTCACTCAGATGGAAAAACACAGAAAATCCCACCAGGTGACCCGTTGCGTTTCTACATCTAAGTGAACAATTCATTTAGTTTTGATTAATTCTTACAGTTTTTATTATTAATGTGTTGTAGATTCCTTGTTTTTTATTTATTGTTTATACCGATTGCATTTTCTGGATTTATTGACACAACTTGTGTTGTCGAGTCATTTTAGCCTCGTCTCGATGTTTTTAGTATTTTATAGTGAAAACAGATTTTGAAATGTGACAACCGCATTGTTCCTAGCAAATAAATTACAAAATTAATTAAAATTTTTAAAAAAGAGGAAAAAACAAAACTTGGAGTCAAACATTTTTGCTCAGCAAAGCATTTAAATCGCTTGATCTATTTTCCCTCAACACATCCATCATCATAAGGCGACATCAAGTCACGATTAAGCAAAACGTAGTAAAAACAAGAAATACTGCCCCCTGCAGGTGGGAGTTGGCATCATTTAAACCCAATGGGTTTTACCATTTTTGTAGAAAAATTACAATAAACTCATAATTATGCTTTGGCATAAAAAAAAAAAATACAGAAATTTGTTGAATTTCTACAATCAAAGAATCACAAAACTCTGGAGGGACTAACTAGATTCATCATTTTTCTGTTTCCAGGGAGGAAAAAAATTATAAATATCTTTCGCTTAAAATCTGTGTAATTAGTAAAAACTACCGTTAAAATATGAATGTCAGAACTGACCGGGTTGTCGATTTTCAGGGAAATCTTGATCTCACTGTGGAGTTTCTGGAGTTTCAGGTCGGTTGACATTTCTGGAAAATAAATCGGGGAAAAAAGAGATGATGTTACACAGCAGTCAATTAAAAAAAAACAACAACAAATCTTAAAATAAATAAACAGTTCCAGCTAAAACCACATATTTATTTATCTTTTTAAAATCACCTTTCTTCTTGGGTCCCACCTCAGGTTTCTTCACATCTTCTTTGTCGGCCCTGAAAGACAAAAAACACGACATCAGAAACTCAGCAATTAATCAATTAATCGTATAATAAATCGAATCGATCATCTTTGGTAGAAAGAAATTTTGGCAGAAAAACACCAAACTCTCCATTCTGATGCTTCTGCCTCTTTTTGAGGGATAATTTTGTTGACAGAGATGTAATAGTTCATTTTGTTTGTTGTTTCTTTTGTTTTGTTTTTTTATTTATTTTGGATATTGAAAACGTTTCCACCTCCAGCGTTAAATGTTCAGTAGAAATTACAGTTTATGGATCTTTGAGAAAGTGTTTCATTATTTCATTGCTGTTAAATTGCTTGAAAATGTTGTCAAACAACATTATTGCTGACAGCAGTAACTTCTAGGACAAATTATTGTGAAGATAAATTTGGTATCGTAACAAATCAAGCGCCTACAATCAAAAACTGCCTCAAAGTTACTGAAATATGTCAACACTGAAACACAACTTCAAATATTCATCAAATAAAGACCTGGGGCTTTATTTCTGGTCAGACCTCGTTAGCATGCGGCTAAGTTTGTTGTTGTTGCTGTGGCAACAGAGTAACACCATGACGCCTCATCATGGAGGGATGAACTCACTCTCTGGGTTCGTCGGCTTTCCAGCGCCGCCCGTCTTTATCCGCCTCTGCATTCTGCAGCTTCTTCCTCCCTTTGCTTTTCTGAGACTAACAGGAATAGAAACGTTAAAACCATCTTCTCGTCCGACACACTGCCGGCGTGCGAAGACGCTTGCCTCATCGTCGTCCGAGCCAGACGAGCCGTTGTCCTTCTTCCTCTTCTTGGCCTCCGTCTCCTTTAGCTCCGCCTCCTTCCCCTTGCTGCCCTCCCTCTTCTTCCTCTTCTCCTCTTCTCCGTTCAGCTGCTTGTCCTCCGCTGCCCTCTTTCGCTTCTTCTCAGAGTCGTTCGTCTCCCTAAAATGAAAATAAAACAAAAACAAGCTGTAAAAAAGAAGGAGTCAATGAAAGCTGTTTTCTGAAGGTTTACATTTCGCTCCCAGAGCCGTGTTGGTCCTGCTGCAGCAGAAGCAGCTTCTCGGTTTTCGGCTTCCTGCCTCGCCGTTTCGGAGCGTCTCCACCTGATCACAGATAAACAGTTATTGATCATATTCCACTAATTCTACCTCAAATTAAAACCTACTTCCCTAAAAATAACGAGCTACATTCAGTTTTTGATACAAAATTACAGTTTTCACAAGTGAACAAAGTGTTTTTACAAATTTTTCAGTTGGGCTGAAATGATTAATCAAATTAATTGTAATTATTCGATAATTGTCAACTAATTTAGTAATTGACTAAAAGCTAACTGCAGAAAACCAACTCAAAATAAGTGTATTTGCTGAAAGAATAACTCACTCAGAGCAGCAATTAAACCAAAAGTGTATCAAAATATATTTACATTTTGCATTTAAGATGAAAAGACATTTCATTTGTAAATCTATTCTACCGAGAACGCTTCAAATGGCAAAAAAAAAAAATCTATAAAGCAATCTTTCCTACCCAATTGTTAATTTGTATAAACCATTTTTAATATTTTATTTTAAAAAAGTAAATAAATCAGCAGAATGTGCCAACTTTTCATTGGATTAATCGCCAGAATAATCATTTACTAAAAATAATTACTTTGCAGCTCCAGTTTTGTGGTGAAAATTTATTTCCTTTTAGATTATTGTGCACAATAAAAAGACGCTCATTACATTTATTGCTAATTTACTACTAGTTTTTGGAGCATTTTTAGCCTAAAATTATCAGTAACAGTAATATCTTCAGTGAGCTTACATATTATTTTTTTATTCTTGTCAGCAATTAATTGCTACAAAAATAGGAGCAAATGTTGTGGAAATCACAGCTTTGCACCAAAATGGCCTCAGGTTATTGATTAATCAGTTAATCTGCAGTTGATCAATTTTATCTTATAGAGTGACAAACAAATTAACTGACAAGTAAACCTGAATTTTGTTTTGTGTCCATAACGTAAAGAGCAAAATTTTTCATAATATTTTGAATTTTTAAAAAAAGGATCAGGATGTCGCCCTCTTCTGGATGGAGGCCAAACTGCAACATTAACAAAAGATCTAAGCCAGGGGTGTCAAACTCCTCGAGGGCCACTGTCCTGCACTTTTGTCACAGGTACAAAACACAGGAATGAAATGGCTTAATTACCTCCTCCTTGTTCTCCAGAGCCTTGCTAATGGCCTAATTATTCTATTCAGGTGCAACAGAGGCACATCTAAAAGTTGCAGGACAGCGGCCCTCGAGGACTGGATGTTGACACCCCTGATCTAATCATTAGTTAATGAATTGGAACAATTTAAATCTAATAATCCATTGATCAATAATTATTCATATGTTGACTAACGCTTTGCAAATGGATGAAAAATAATAATAAAAAAAATCATCAGACAAAGCCAACTTTTAAAGTTTCTCCCTCTTGGGCCATTTTGCACCAAAATGAAACAGGAAACAGGATCCTGTTTCCACCAGGGCAGATCTTCCTGAAGAAAGCTCTCAAAAAGCTGAAGCTAACGAACTCAGATCAACTTCAAGGTCCAGAAGCTATGAGGAGAATATAAGAGATCTTCAACAGTGTAAAACAAAAACACTTTTCAGCAGAAATCCCACCTGATGGACTCACGGGACTTCCAGGATCTTCGTCTTTTTCGTTCTCCTGGTCACCCTGAAAAACAAACACATGATTAAACGATTTAATCGCTCCTAAAACTGAATTTAAATCACCTTCAGCGACACTACCAACCTTCTTCTTCCTTCCTCTTTTGGGTTTTGAGGGATCAGTCGATTCTTTCTGAGCAGAAACCTGAAAAGTTGACCAGAAAGTTTGATTTTATTCCAGCTGACCTCAAAAACAAGCCGACTTTACTTCCTTAGAAAGCTGCTGAAGTAGAGAAAAAGCAGAAAGTGAAAAAAACCGATTTAGAGCAACAGCACCCTCTAGTGTGCAGCTGAGGTTTTACACCAGATTCAATGCAAAAGGGAATTTCTTTCATACTTACCTTCTTTTGAAGATTTATTTGTTAAATTAGGAGGAAAAAAGCATTGAAATCAGAACTTAACCACTTGGATGAGAAAGAAAGTGGATGAAATCAGTGGAATCATGCAGCAGATGGACAGAAAAGCAAGAAATGAACCCAAAACTTTCAAATAAACTCATTTTTATTCATCAAGCACAAACTCAACATGACTGAAAACACAAACAGCTCTCCGTTAGATTTTCATTAGCGACCCGAATGCCGACCCGGCTCTGGAAAAACCGCCGATGTAGCATGCTTTTTTTAATTTTCCACCCAAACAAGGGATGACATGACCTGCGCCGCTGCATGGCAACCCGACATGCAAGAGTACGTACATCCTGGATCTCAGGACCCTGCTCAGACATCAGAGACCCTTCCTCCTCCTCTTTCTCCTCCTCCTCATCATCATTCTCCTGCTCAGTCTCTTTTCCTGGAACCTGAATGCACCATAGACACAGCATAGGACGCAGCGAGGCGCGGTCAGCGAGCTTCCTGCTCTTTTTGCTACCAAACATCAACTCTACGAGAGGGAAAACCGCTTCCTGCAGTTACGATGCAGACAAACGTCACAGGAAGCTTTGAGAGACAAAAAACATGAAAGAATCTGGCAACAGAAGAGATTCACTGCAGTGGAGCAACATGGGAATGGAGGTTATGAACAGGAAATAAAAAAACTAAAACTTACTTTGGGTTTGACTCCTTTATCAGCTGCGTCTTCTTCTTCTCCTTCCGGACCGCTTTCCAAATCCTTTTCCAGGAAGGAAGGAGGAGGAACCGGCTTCCGATTTCAAAAAAATGAAAAACAGGATTTAACTCATTAAAACTCATTAAAGCAGCAGAAAATTTGTTCACTTCATCACACCGTCCCCTTAAATTCAGCTTTATTTATCTGTTAAAGCAGAGAAACGAACATCCTGACCAGCTGGGAACAGTTTGTTGGACATTTCAGAATATATCCAGGTTTCTACAAATTAAATTTATTACTTAAGACCTTTTCAATTCCACCTTGGATTAAATTTAAAGGTAAAAAACGATAAAGGCAACAGATAGTTGAGGGATTGTAGCATGTGTCACAGATTAAAGTTTAGTTATTGCACAGAAAAAAAACTTACCCATGGTAAACAACAAAAAAAATAGCTAGCTAGCAAGGCTAAAGCTGACTAGCAATTTTAAAAAATAAATGTAAGACTTTTTAAGGATGTAGTTATAAAGCGTTCCCACTGAAGCCTGTTTGCTGATCCGTTTACGTCTGAACGACAACGCAGTGTGAGGGACATATAGATTTGAAAATAAGAGGAAAAAAGTACATTTCTACCAAATAATTTAGTATTTTTTTCAAGAAAATTTTTGGAATTAATTTCAAATATTTGACTTCAAATTTTGAAATTTTATTTTTTTAGATTAATCTCAAAATTTTAGCTTTCTTCAGCAAATTTTCAACTTTTTTGAAACTCAAATTTTCTTATTTTTCTAAACAGAGATGTTGTAACACTGACTGCTACTGGAGAGTCTTCACTTCCACAGCGACTGAAGATATTTGGGTGAGTTACATTTAACTTCCCTTTGGGATAAATTAAGTATTTTTTAATTAGGTTTAAGTTTAGTTCTAATCAGTAAGAGGAGAATCTAATCTGGATTTGGCTCAGTGGAAAATAAAATTTTAAAGTTGAAATTCTGCTGTTTACACCCAGTTTCTAACGAAGTCGTACCTTTGGCGCAGTCAGCTCAACTTTTGGGTTGTTTTCGATCTCCCACAATCCTTCATTGAAGCCTTTCCTTTTGTTCGGTTTTGCGTATTTCTCTTTGTTTTGTTGGTACGGAAAAATGTCCTTCGGCCCAAGAAACGCTCTGCAGGAGGGAAAATACTTTCAGTCATGAACGTAAACGCAACACTGGTGCCAAGCATTAAAAATGCAGAATGGGGATGGAAACCGGACCCTCATCAAACATTTATCTATTAAAAACCTTCAGAGGAACAAAATTGCGCCTTGATAAACATCTGCAGTTTGCTGCTCACGTTTCATGAGTGCCGAAGAAGAAAATTGGATATTTGATGTTGGATGGTTTCACAGCACCGTCTGGGACTTCATCAATCTGAAACAGAAACAAATTTACTCAAGATTTCTCATAATTTTATTTATATTTATTTTTCATGTGGCTCTGATACTCTATTGTAGCAAAAAAAAAAAAAAAATTATTTTTACCTGCTCAAAAATAAACTGAGCAGATAATATTTTAATAAATGAGCAATTTCTTGATTTCAAACATAAAAAGCTTCTGCAGGTTTGCCAGATTTAAAACAAAAAAACCACATCCTACATGTTTCAGGTTGATCAACTTTTTCTAAATTTTTCTTTCTTTGCAGAAACATGAAGGTTTAATAAATTATTTAAAAGTGATTGGATGTAGAGGGTTTTTTTTTTATCTTAAAATGAATTAAATTCAAAGCAAAAACCTAGATGAATAATTTGTGTTCCACTTTCCATTTTAAGATTTGAAATTGCACCCCAACATTGTTTTTAAATACGAGTCAAATTTCTGTCATTTTTGCCCAGTGATGCGCTTCGTGCTGCTTACCCTCGCAGGCCAGTGAGGATAACCCTTCATTTTGGCAAAGATCAGATCGCCTGGCTTCCAGTCGCCGGCCATCTTGGATTTGAAACCAAACTGAAAAGAAAACCCACGACGTTTAGAGACAGACACGTCATCTAGAAACACTGAAACTAAATGAAAGCCACATTATGACCGTGCCTCACACCAAAAAACTCCTGGAAGTCTTAATGCTGTTACACAAAAACAACTTTGAGGTTTCAAGGTTTTTTTATATATCGTGACAAAAACATTATAACAAAAGATCTTTTTTACCGTATTTTTTCAGGTAACTTTCTGACTGCAACAGCATTTATTTCACCATAAACACAAATATTGTTCTTTAAAAACATCCTAATTTGTAATAATTTTAATTTATTTGAACACACATTAGCATTTCCGTAAATTTTAAGGTTTACAGTAAATGCATCAGATTTAGCAAAAAGGCTATTTTTCATCTCATTAAAAGAATCCTGTTATGTGATTTTACGATATAAAATGTGATTTTTATTATTTAAAAATTAACTGAATTGCTTATTTATTTCCCTCTTAATATACATAGTCAATTTCTGTCAATTTTTTTATTGGATTAATTGATAACTAAAGTAATCCTTAGCTGCAGCCCTTGTTGATTTTATCGATTAATCAAATGCTTATAGCATCAGGTAACACAACAATCAAATTATGATGAGTATTCTTTGTACTTTGCAATACTTATTAAATTTAAATGTCAAACAATTTTAAATATTTTTATTAAAATTTGATAGTATTCTCATTCTGAATAAGACGTTAAAATAGATGTACATTTTAAAGAGTCATGCCATAAACTGCTGAGTGTGCTTATGCCTTGGTCCAGCTCTGCTCACAGATGGACTCTATTCACATGGTCATCTTTGAAAGAAAACAGGCTGCACTCAATTTTATCTAGGGAAATCAGAGTAAAAGGGGTTTGTTTACAAAAACAACAATTGAGAATCATGCATCGGTTTCATGTGTTGTGTGTGTAACGCCACAAAATGTAGAAAATAAATAAAAAAGTCCAGTATCTGGACACACAGCATCTCCAGCGATGCTATTAAAAACCCAGTTAACCTGCAGGATGGATGGGACGTAAACGCCTCATTAACTCCCGTTAGCTAGCTTAAAGTTAGCAAACAAAGCGACGTAAAGATCCAGTTTTATTCACCTCCGTTCTGTTTGGGCTTCTGAGGAGACGAAATGCGCTGGCTGCAGTAAATTGGAGCTTGAAGAAGATATTATTTAATCAATACAACGAAACGCTCCTCTTCCGTAAAGCCGACGCACGTTTTCCGCTCCCGCGCAGGACGTCGCCCGACCGAACCACTGCAGAGACACGGGGGCGGCGCTTCATTTGACAGCGCGACGCTCCCGCTTCTTTAAACGCTACACTACGTTAGTATTAGAAACTCTTACTTATATTACTTATTTTTATTATCTTTCCGTCGAAGCCAAACTTGCTGTGAAACAGAAATTATCCGTGTTGGACTGCCTGGCCCGGGTTCAAAGATTGTTCAATAAAGCAAGACGATTTGCTGGAGCGAGGCCTCAATGGCATCGATGTAAGCACAAAAATCATCAAAATTTTGATATTGTGGGTAAAAAAAAAATTTTGAAACGAAAACTCGATCAATTAAAATCACAGAGCTTAAGATAGACGTTTACTTTAAAATACAATTTAAATAGCTGTCGTAGAAAGCTTACTTCATTTAGACTCTGTAAAAAAAAGCAGAGTGGGACCTCTGCAGCTGTTCAGACGCTCTTTGCTGCTCTTTTGTGGCGATGCTGATCATTTTAAAGAGAAAGGCGCTTCATACCAAGAGCATTTATATTTAATACTTACATATAAAATAAATTATGAATTTAAAGAGTAATTAATAAATTATTAAATACAAAAATAGCGAAATAAAACACTCACAAAAGATAAGAATAATAACAGAAATAAGAATAATAATTATTATACAACAACAACAATAATAATAAATACTCAATTGATTGCTTTATGGTTGCTGAAACATAATTGAAAACCAACAGAAGTAAAGATGAAAGACAAAAATTAAAGCTAAAAAAGGCTAAATATCAACTGAACATGTTAAGATCATTTTGAAAATTGCAAAAAAAAAATACTGTTTGGCACTGTTGTGCAGAGAGAAAAATATGAATATTAATCTTTTATTTAAAATGTATTTTCCTTCAGCTAAATGTTTGGCATCTTTACATTGTGGGATTTGAAACTGTGGTTGATATTTAGTGACATCTGGTGGCCAAAATCTATCATAACAACTGATATTTATAAATGTACCTGGCCGATTTTTGTCCATATTGTGCTTTAAATTTGGAAAATTGATGTCAGATCAGCAATTTATTTTTATTTGTGTGAAAAAAAAACTAACAACAGAATAAATAAACATTTTACAGTGAAATTACTGCATAATAAATGTCCTATCCTCAACTTTGAGGCTGCTGCAACCCTGCAGATCACAGAGATAAATGAAAGTGACCTTGATATTAGATGTGTGAGTGTAATAAAGACAATGGCCGCTGATAGCTGAAGGACAGGTCCGTTATCCCAGAGCGGGAGAAGAAAGGCCGGGCTGGGCCAAAGGAGGCTGAAGCTCCGCTCGGTATCCAGGAATAACCACCGGGAGGTGAGAGACCTCCGCTTTGGACGGCAGCCAGCATGGAGGGCTTCCTGCTTCGACACACGGCCACGCGGAGGCCGGCGATGGAGAGATGACAGCGAGGCGTACCCTTCACCCCGCCAGGCGAGGTCAGGCCGCCTCCCCGGGCCGCGGGAGTCCCGCTGTCCCCCATCACTCATTTTAGGCTGCCGCTCCTTTTCAGAGTCCCGGCTCACGCTGGGAGGCTTTGTGGTGTTTAAAATCACCTGGCTGCCACGGTGATGACCTCTGACCCCGGTGACAAGACAGCTGGGGTTCATGAAGGCCCTCATTTGCTTTAAACCCAAACAGCAGCATAAAGGTGAGCCTGTTAAAGTGATCTGCTCATAAATTACCTCTGATGGTCCAGAAGGAGCAGAGAAACGTTGTTCGACTTCAGCAGCAGTGATCTGAGTTACCCACTGCACAAGTTCGCATTTTAATCTCTTTAGGGACACCAGGAAAACAAAGGAGGAGAAAATTACTGCCAAAAACAAAACGCAGAAATTTCAGTTTTTTAAAGGAAAAAAACGAGCTTCTCTCAAAATTTCTGAGTTTGTTTTTAAGGAAACATTTGACTTTCAAATTCAGAAATGTCCTTGTTTCTAGAAAATTTCTGAGATTCATCTCAAAATTTTTTTTTCCAGTTAATTTTCAACTTTTCAAACTCAAATATTTTCTTGTTTTTTCTGCACAATTTCATTTTTTTGGCAGAAGTTTGTTCCTCCTTTTTTCCTCTTCTCTGCTGTAGCCTTAACTCTCAGTCACAGATTTGCTCTGGTGAAATGACTGATTTCAGTTTGGGGTGTTAGCTTAAGGTCACCTTCTCTGGTCCTGAATGAGGGATGCTGTCCTTCAGACGGTGTGTGTTTCCAGTATGCGTGTGTGTGTGTGTGTGTGTGTGTGTGTGTGTGTGTGTGTGTCATCCACATGGATTGGCATCCTTCCCCTTTCTGCTGGCATCCCTTCAGCATGTTGAGGGGAACGGACGCCGCCGCAGGATGATGAAGTATCACCAGGCGCCTTCATTAATGCGTCATAAATAAAAATTTAAAAAAAACTTCCACTTGGCTCTGCAGAACCGGAGCGATCGTCTCGTCGTGGACGGTCACCAACAAGCTCCAGATGTGTGTGTGTGTCTGCGTGTGTCTACGTGTGTGTGTGTCTGTGTGTGTGTGCGTGTGTGTCTACATGTGTCTGTGTGTGTGCCTGCGTGTGTGTGTGATGGAGTCAGGCCAGCAGGTGAGGATGTGAAGGCAGGGTGTGACAGATGCTTCTGTCAGCGGTCCAACAGTCGCCACTTTGTGGGAGCCGCGCAGATGCCTTCATCCTCCTCTTTCTCCTCCTCCTCCTGCTCCTCCTCCTCCTCCTCCTCCTCCCTTTCCGCCGTGATGAAGAGGCAAGCAAGACGGGGCGCTCCTCTCAGCTTCAAGGTGCTACACGACCCCGGGGTCTGAGGAGGGAGTAAATGTAACTATTACATTTACTAAGTTACATTTACCCGAGTGACTTTCAGGAAACCTGAACCTGCAGGTTTTCTTAAAGGTGATCTGTTGTGCTTCCCTGAACAGGCTAAAACAGGTAGGAAAATAAAGAATAACATGAGAATAAATTCAAAATAATACAAAAATAAGAATAAAGTCAATATCTTGTGAATTTAGATGTAATATTTTACTTTATTCTTTTGCTTCTTTTTGTTTTCTTAGCGTGGCCCAAACACTCTGTTGTAATTTTGAGTTACTTTCAGAGTGAACTGTTTTAGGGCCTCTATCACTTGCTGCTGTCCATGTCCCCCAATTCAACGTTTACTTTTGAATGTAAAAATGGCTGCAAACAGATGCACAATTATACAGCTGTGCATCTTTGAAAAGCAGAAGTGGAGCCTCCTGCACAACCAAGCAGAATGCAGCAAGTGCTTTCTGGATAGTAAGTCGACAACAAAACACTTGTCTTTTCCAGCAGCCATTGTACAGCGTATAATCTGCCTCCTGCAGAGGCAGCGGTTTGAAGCAGCAAAACCAGCTGACCAGAAGTGCTGGAGCTCAGCTTGGGTTGCTAGGTGATGGGCTGTGCCTGCTGATTTGTAAGGATTTTGAAGCTGCTCATTTTCCAAACGCCAAAAAACATTAAGTTTGAATAGCATTTCAATCAGAGGAGCGCAGAGGACCCACATTAATTTACTCAAGTAAGAACAGCGCTACGTCATCATATTTTACTCAAATAAAAGTAAAAGGGAGGTGAAATTAGTCAAGAGTAAAAAAGTATTTGGTACTGAATAACTAAACAAATTATCATCTAATATTTAAAAATTGCATAATCAGATGGACCAAATGTAAAGTTAAGTGGAAATTAGGGCATTTTAAGAATTAGGATTACAATAATTCATATAAGTAACAAAAAAAATCATGCAGATCAGTTTCTTTCAACAAAAACTTCATTTGTTTTTCATTCAGTGGATAAAGAATACAGAAATTTCACTAAAATAAAAGTTGAGCCTACAGTAAAAATAAATGTAACTAGTAACTAGTTGCTACCAGCTCTGATTATCGCCAACATTTATTACTCCAACTCGAGTAACTTAATGCTGCTCTTACCTGCGTGTTGAAGTGCTGCTGCTCTTACCTCCGTGCCCCGTGATGGGGGTTATAAATGCGGGGGTCATTGCGTGAGGACAGGGGAAGGGCTCTCTCGCTGGGCTGCGGGGCCCAGCTGAGCCGCGGGGTCCGCCGCCGTCCTGCCTGTGAGGAAAGCAGATGTTTTCGCTCGGGGAAGTGCCAAGTTTGCAGCGCAACCTTCAGCAGCTTGGAGGTCAGGCCTTTAATAAGGGGCTGAGCGCGGGACGCTTCGGAGGCAAACGCTTCAGCTTTGATTCAACAACATATTAATTATGATGGCAGACCGGCGCGGGGCGCAGGGTTGTAGCGGAACATCGCGCCCCGCCGCTCTGGAGCCGCCGCCGGCCTGACGTTCGCCAACACCGGCTGGCAGGATCGCTGCTGTCCCAGCAGCCGCTCCGCCAAGCGGACCGGCTCCTGCAGAGGCAGCGGTTTGGACCGGATCCACCCGAACCGGCTCTGAGGCCAAAGCCAGAGAAAACACTGCAGTTTGGACCAGAAAGCAAACACGAGCTTTTATTTTCCTCAACCTTCTGATCTTTAAATTTAATAGGAAGCAATAGCCTGCATGTGACAATACTGCAGAAACACCTGCAAACTGAATAAAAGTAGATAAAAAATGCAATTAAAAGGAAATACCTACAAGTAGCTAAACATAAAGAAGGATTTATATATAAGCTAGTAAATGTCATAATTCTGAGAAAAAGTCAGAATTATGACTCCATCTGCAACATCAGCTGAAGTTCAATACTTTACTGTTAATACAGAGCTAATATAGCGCTTTAGCATTAGCTTCCACCAAATGGAGCGTTGTTATAGCGCTTTAGTGTTAGCTTCAATTAAATACAGTGTGATACAGTGGACCAGTTGCTAATTTTCCTTAGTTTCAAAGATCTAATGTCTTTCTAATTTCAACTTTACAAGCAGCACCAACTTCTTCAAAGCATTTAGGATTTTCCTTCCTAGCAGCGCCATGAACGACAGTTTAAAAGCTTGCGTGAAATAGGACAATTAGTTTCATCATGGAGCCACACCGATAAAGGAAAAAGTGATCATAAGACCATGACTTCCCAGCCTGATGAGTTAAGAAGGGAGTTTCACCTCGTCTCAACCTTTGCATTGATTTTTGAGCGAGTGGGAGATCTGGGGATTACTTCGGAGAGCAGCGATGAAGACCTAGCTTATTTGGTCTTTTTTGTATTTGGCAAATGGGCTTGACA